TTGGCATCTGAAAACTGTTAGCAAGGGAGCCCATCTCATCTCCCAGGGCATGGAATGCCTCACATACAGTGCCATGACAATGGTTGTCCCCCACATTCCCACCAGGCACCCTTTCGGTGCTGAGAGCAGAGCTTCCCCTGTGTAGATGGGCAGGATCCTTGTGGGAAGAGATGGTCTGCCTCCAAGCTGTTTAGGACTTTAGAAGAAGTCATTCGAAGCCATGACACCTGATATAGCAATAGCAAGCTGCAAAAAGCTTACCCCAGTCAAAACTTCAGCTTAAGTTCCCAAATGTTTTTCAAAGACATCCTGATGCAGCGTGTGTGCTGCTTTGGCCCAGCCTTGATGAGACGAATGTGTGTGATTGTGGCCAGGCTAGTTGCATCCTGGAGAACTCTTCCCTGCTGTGCTGGATCTTGGAGGCCCTGCTTATCGTATCTTGAATGCATGCTCACAGAGCAGCAATCTGGCTGGTGGGATTGGCGCGGAGCACCCATAGCTGGGAAATCATCATATGTAGCTTCCTCAGCTGTTGTGGTCTCCATTAGCCTCTTCTGCTCCTGCCTTGCCAATTTTGGAGGGGAATTAATTGGGGGCCCTTCTTGGCAGAATCGCCTCTATCAAGCCATCCAGAGAGCAGACGACATTCTGGACTTGAAGTTCTGCATGGATGGAGTCCAGACAGCCCTGAGGAATGAAGATTATGAACAGGCTGCTGCGCATATTCATCGCTACCTTTCTTTGGACAAATCTGTCATTGAGCTCAGCAGGCAGGGCCGGGAAGGTATTCATTATGTTTATTGGTTTATTTAATTGTATCTAATATCCCACCCTACACTGTAAAAACAATATTTGGGGTGGATTCTAATATATTAACAATAGCCAAAAACGCACCTGATTGTTGTGAAGTACATTAAGTGTCATTTGGTTTTACAGAATACACCCAGAGTCATCTTTCAATTCTGTGTTTCTGTGATGATTTCTGTTGTTACTAGTAAAAATGAACAAAAGCCAACTTCGTCACTACAAACAAATGCTGCCTAAACTTCTACTACTTTCATTCCACTTTTTTTATTTCACATATTTATAACACCCTAGCGGTTCACACAAGGGTCTCAGGGCAGGGCATGACGCATGTTTTAAAAACACAATAAACAGTATATAAATACAGAACCATCATAAATCCTAATTAAAAGTAAGATTAAATGTCAACAGGGATGAAATAAAAAGATAACCAGCAGAAGCAAATCACGGTGCCCTTCCAAGGTCTGAACAAAAAGGAGCATTTTTTAAAGTGATAATATTGATGTGTGACCCACCTCTGAGGGGAGGTCCTTCCTTAAGTATGGAGCCATTTCAGAGAAATGATATTGAGACTCTCCTTTCTGGGCAGGCAGCATAATTGAGGCCAACTTGAAGCTTCTGCAGGAGGCAGAGCAGCGCCTGAAGGTGATTGTGACTGAGAAATTTGACATTGCCACAAAACAGGAAGACCTGCCCCAAGTGGAACGCTTTTTCAAGATATTTCCTCTGCTGGGCTTGCATGAAGAAGGACTAAGTAAATTCTCCGAGTACCTGTGCAAACAGGTAAGTGTAGCTTGAGAGCTGCTGCTCATTTGCAACTGAGATGCATTCTGAGCTTCTTGGGGTTGAGCCATTGCTCCTGTTCTAGTGGGTCAGTCATATAGAAACTGGGACTTTTTAGTTTAGAAAAAAGATGGAACACAGTAGATGTGTGCACAGTTACAAGCAGCCTCATATCCATCACGCAGCACATAATTCAACTATGGAACTATCTGCAACAGGTTAAAGTGATGGCCACCAGCTTGGACTGCTGTAAAGATTTGATTGATTGATTGATTGATTGATTGATTAACAAAATCTTAATTTTTTAAAAAGGGCTCCTCGAGGATTGTCCTTGCATGAGTTTTGACTGAGGCTGTGGGATAACATAGGCTAAAAGTCTCCATTCTTTTCAGGTTGCAAATAAAGCGGAGGAGAACCTGCAGTTGGTGATGAAGACAGACATGAGTGACCGTAGAGCTGCAGCTATCTTTGCAGACACGCTGACCCTACTTTTTGAAGGTAACCCCCTGCCACCATTGAGAATACCTTAGAATATCTGCCTTATGCTAAGTCAAACCATTGGTCCATCTAATTCAGTACTGCCTATACTGACCGCCAGGGACTTTTCATGATTTCAGTTGGGGCGTGTTCCCAGAGCTACTAGGAGATGCCATTAAGGACTGACTCTGGAAGCATCTGCATGCCCAGCAGATGCTCTACCACTGAGCTGTGGCCCTTCCCCATATTACTAGAAACAGGATGCTGTCTTGACAGCATTGCACAAGCAGTGAAGTGTTGAAGGAAAGTCTTGGGCTTCTGTTTGGAATGATCCTTTTGTCCTCACAGGATGGGGTGGCAGCTTTTTCTGGAGCACTGTACAACAGTCTCATATCACCTGTTTTTTCTTCTTCTAGGGATTGCCCGTATTGTGGAGACCCACCAGCCCATTGTGGAGACCTACTATGGACCAGGCAGGCTTTATACACTGATTAAGCACCTACAGACAGAATGTGATCGACAGGTAGAAAAGGTTGTGGACAAGTTTATCCAGCAGAGATCCTATCACAGACAGGTGAGAGACTTGCCAGTGTGGCCTGAGGAAGACATGGAGGAACCCACTTTGAGCCAGTTCCATGAGGCTTCTCTTGAGTTTGCCGGTGCAAGAGAGCCCTTTATGTGGCTTGTAACAATAGGGACAGCACATGCAGACCTCACATTGTGGGCTGCTGCTGGGGTCACCTGTGTTCTCTTACTGGTGGTGGCATGCCAGTGCAGAAGGCTAGTCTCTTGGCTGGTTAGGGAACTCAAATGCTCTAATTACTAGTGGCCCCAGTTACTCTCACCCACACCCCCGTCCTGCCTGCTGTATACCTTCAATCCCTGTTGGTTCAGTTTTTACAACATCCCAGTGGTGGCTGTCACTGTTTCTGTCCCATTTGCAAAATGGGGCAGAATCGGGGCAGAGCGTGGCCACCCAGTGCACCCAGGCTGATGTGCCTAAAGGATCTTTAGGTTCCACACAGAAAAGTGCCCCCAAATGTCTGCAGCCACAGCCCACACCCTCCCCTCCCCTTCCCTCTCACTCAAGGCATGTCAGAAGGTGAGTGACTTTTCCTGTAGTCCCTAAGTTACTAACTCTGCAATGTGCCATGTACACCAATGGGTAATGATGCTACCCATTGCCTTCCAACTCTCCTGTGTGTCAGTTTAGCTGGCTTGTCCAAGGCCACCCAATGAGCTTCAAGGCCCAGCAAATAAATGAGCTTGCTCGCTGTCTCTGTTTCCTCTCTCTCTCTCTCTCTCTCTCTCTCTCTCTCTCTCTCTGAGTGTGTGTGCTGAGTCATGCTCTAAGGCTTGGTGGTGATTTCCCTGTAGACTCCTGTTGTCCAACATAGCAAATACTTCTGGGGTTTGCTTATTAGTGTGTTTTTTCTTTTCTTTTTAATGCTTCTTTCAAAAGCTTCTGTCAGCACCCTTCTGTTTCTGATCTCTCTCTAACTCCTATGTAAATTCCCCTTGGGTATGGAATGAAGAGGTCATCCTTAGCTTCTCCTTCCCTCTACCTGTTGCCTTATTACTGCTCCAGCGGGAGGAGACTGGTAATTTAGGAGTCAACAAGCAGAAAAGAGATTTCTAACAGCTCTCTACTTCTTACACTTGCAGTTTCAGCATGTTCAGAACAGCATGATGAGGAGTTCAGTTGCAGAAAAGATTGAGCCAAGGTAAACTGGCCGAAACCTCCCCCTCTTTCCTTCCTGCTTTTCAGCCACAACTCTTTTTCATTGTGGGAAATTATGGTTTGACCTGGCACTTAAATGTCCAAGGGTATCCTGGAAAGGACCAGGCCCAGTCTTACGAAACTAGTGTGTTCTCCCTCTGTGATGCCATCCAGTGTGCTCTCCTTTGTCACCACCCAATAGGCCAGACATCTGTCCACTAGGAGGCAGAGGCTCTTTCATAGATTAGGGGGGATCACCTGCTTTCTCCCCTGGCCTGTCTCACAATGGAAGACTGCACGAGATGGAATTGTGTTGTACAGTATTTGTGTGTTTGATGGAACCATTTGCATCAGAGAGTGATCATATCAGCTGCAAATTGGAATGGAAAAGGGGGAAGAGTGGATTAGAATAGGTAAGAATGTAAAGTGGTGAGGATGAGCAGGCCAGGGACTTATGATGTGACTTACACCCTGGAGCAAATGATTATGACAACTACCACTTGGTTGCTAATGCTTTCTCAGGAAGGTACTCAAGAGGGTTGTGGCAGTTGTTTGCTCTGTTGAAGACTGGCCATTAACTGGACCCTGTTCCAATCTAGGTTAAGTCCTGGCTGGTATTACATTTCTCTGCTTGAGTTGTTCAATTAGCTGGGTGAATTTATAGGATTGAAGGCAATTTGCAGCAGCCAGAGGTTTGCATCTCTCTCTGGAAAGGAAGAGTGGGGGTGGGGGTGTACATGCACCAGTTTAAAACCCACTCTCCAGAGCTGCTGTGGCAAGTTTTACCTACCTTATGAGTTTGTCTCTGGTCATTGCTAAGCTCAAGTTTTAGCCACCCAGCTGATGACTACGCTGAGGTGTCTAGGGATTCTTGTTCCTGCCAAACCCAAATGCACAGTTATTAACCAATTTCCTTGCAGGAACAGCAAGGCCTCCCCTTAAGCTTGTTCCTCTGCTATGAGGAACAGGTTTTCACAGGCCTGGTAAACAAAAACCACAAATCATTGGCATGACAGGAAATGGCAAAGCCAGCCTTATGGTCCCAGAATGGCTCATGGCGCTACATTTCTACATCTGCAAACATTTGTTTGTTGACGGGAAGCATTGTTTTACATGTGGCAATTTCAGGATTCCAACATGAGCTTGCTGGCTGTCCAGAGCTGTCTTAGGACTTTGTTCTACCACCTCATCTTGTTGTGAAATGCCTGCTTTCTCAGTGGTTCTGCTATTTACTGTCACTTTTCTTCTCACAGGGAACTTGACCCCATTTTAACGGAGGTTACCTTGATGAATGCACGGAGTGAGCTGTATCTGAGATTCATTAGACGGCGCATCATCTCCGACTTTGAGGTGGGAGATTCCATGGCTTCAGAGGATGTGAAGCAAAGGTGAAAACTTAAATGCTCCTTGCACAAAACCAAATCGGAGGTGCTCTTTGACTTGTGGCTGGTTTGGCTTACCAGATGAACTTGTCGTAATGGGCAAGATTTCACAACAGAAATAATAAGTTAACAAATTATGCTGCATTACTAACTCCGCTTACTGGGAGTAAGCCCCATTGAATTCAGTTGGACTTGCTTCTGAGTAGGTATGGTTAGGATTGCACTATTAGGATTCCTTGGCCATGCTTTGTGGGCTCTGGATCAGGCAGGATTTCCCAAGATTTATGTGCCAATGTGGGTAGGGTTGGGATAGAAGTGGGCAGAGTAACAATGACTCTCACCTTTGTACATCTGGCTGAATTCCAGCCATGTAACAAACAGCGCAAGATGTCTCCAGGCACACACTCAGACATCTCTGTCTCAAGCCTCCATCCAGGCAGGCAAGAGGCATTAACATTTTAGGAAGGTACAGAGCAGGACTAAGGAATTGCTCAACCCACCCCCTCACCTCTGCAACTTCACTCCTGCCAAGAAGGTTGTGTTCCCTTGGGCTGTGGTTACCAAGGAGGGTGTGGAAATGGCTCACAAGCTGCTTGGTGTTGATATTGGGAAAGAGTCAGAGCTTCCAGTCCATAGCTCCTACACCTGCCTCAGGATCTAAGGAAGCCTTCCAAAAACCTGCTGCCTAATTCATTCTGAGTGCATTTCCCCCCCTGGCCCAAGTCTTGTGTAGCATCATTCCCCTGTTCTTGTTTTCCTCCTAAATAGGCTGTTGATTGCAATACAAGGTGGGTGACTTACCAGGGGTGGGGAATGTTGTGTGCAGGAAATTGCAGTTGCTAAGAAGGAGCTGGACTGGTGTTCTGTTACTGCAGCCCATGGCCTGCTTCTTTGCTTGTACTCCCACAGAGCATCAGAAGTGCCTGGACAAGCTGCTGAACAACTGCTTACTGAGCTGCGCCATGCAGGAGCTGATTGGCTACTATATTACCATGGAGGAGTATTTCATGAGGGAGACTGTCAACAAGGTAGGGGAAGCTGCCCCCCTTTTCAGGATGGAGGGATATTGAGTTGAATCTTAGGGTACTGAGTGCATCATAGTGGATTGAGGCCCTTCTGATTGAATGAGCTCTGAAAATTCCTGTGGGGTGTAATGTTGGGGATTTCTGAATTGCCTATACTGCGAGCACCAGAAAAGACTGTTACGGTTTTGAGACCCCTTTGAAATTCTCTTCATAGATTAAAAAATATCCTCTATTCTTCAGGCACAGCAAATTCTGGAAGGCCCATGTCTGGAGGGCGCACCTGCCTGCCAGAGCAGTTCATGATCAGCTGGCTTTGCAGGTTGTGAAGAGTCTTGTTGGCCCTCCTTATTTACTTGTCTTACTCTAAGTGACTTACTAAAGGTTGAACGACATAACATATAAGGCAATACATTTCAGTAAAACCTTTCCGCTAACCTATAATCAAGTCCAGCAGAAAAACCAAAAACATCAGCAAGAAGAGCATGCAATCAAATAGGTGTCATACTAGGTCATATCCCTGGTAGAAGAGACAAGTTTTAACCTGGCACCTGAAGGATGTTGTTGACCGTGCCAGACAGACCTCACTGGGGACAGCCTTCCACAGACTGGGAACCAGAGCTGAAAAGCCATGCTCTCCCTTGTTCCTTCTCTCTGAATCTCCCTCAAAGAGTGCACCCAGAGAATGGCTCAGATGAAGATCAATGACTCCAGCGAGGTCCTGAATCATATAGGTGAAAACAGGCACTTTGAATTAGGCCAGGAAACATGCAGGTAGCCAGTGCAGCTGCACCAATATAGGTGTTCTGTGGAAGTCATTGATGTGTGTTGATTTCTTTGCCAGGCTGTTGCTATGGACACATGTGAGAAGGGTCAGCTGACCTCCAGTATGGTGGATGATGTCTTCTATATCGTGAAGAAGTGCATTGGGCGGGCTCTTTCCAGCTCCAGCATTGACTGTCTCTGTGCTATGATCAATCACTCCATCACGGAGCTGGAGTCAGATTTCAGGTGTGTGGTGTGAAGCTTTTTGGCCCTCCTAGACTGCGGTGGTCCAGGCAGTTCACCTAATATAGCACTTACGGTTACAGATTTTCAGCACATAGGTTTTTGGCCTCCTTGGTCTCCACCAGATGGCGCCATGAGGTGCAGGTTCCTACCTGCCTTGTAGGTATCTGCTCCAAGATTCCTAAGCTTTTGTCTCCCCCTTTGAAAGGGTAGTCAACTTCCAGCCTCTTTTTTGTGAAAGGCTTCAAGAGGATCAGCAGAGAGGAGCAGGCTAGCTTCTTCTTTGAGCAGAGAGTGAAATTCTGAATTTGACACAGGGGTCACATCATGTCTAGTTCCACAATGGCAAATGTGACATGCAAAATTCCTTGGCTTCTTCATACTGCAGCCTTCCAGATTCCTGGCCATTATTGCGCACAAGAAAGGCTGTGACTTTAGGGGCACTTCATTGGCATGCAGTGAACAGATGCTCTGGGGATGGATGGCCAAGTGCCTCGAGAATATTCCTGGGCAAGAGAGCAGAATATTTATTATCTAAGCCCCCTTGAGAACTGTGTATGTCACTTCCATGTGCTGATGAGCAGCTGAAATAGAAGCTGGTTCTAAATAAAGGTGCTGAGTAGGAGGGTGGCAGGCAATGATTGGAAGAATTGGGAGGAAGGAAATCCTTGGAGGAGTTCACTGCCTTTGTCCCCTTTGCCCAGCGTGGTATGACAGTGACTTGGAAGCGGTCAGATCTCACAGGCCATCTTGGCAACTACCATCTCCTCTCTTGCCCTTTCCAGGGAGGTCTTGTGCAACAAACTCAAGATGGGTTTCCCAGCCACCACATTCCAGGACTTCCAGAGAGGTGTGACCAGCGCAGTGAGCATCATGCACAGCAGCCTTCAGCAGGGCAAGTTTGACACCAAAGGCATTGAAAGTACAGATGAGGCCAAGCAGTCCTTTCTGGTGGGTGTGCAGCTTTAAACACCTGCAATACAGGTGGGAGACATAGGGAAGGAATAGGAGCAAGCATTGTGATCTTTTCTATGAACCGCCCTGAGACCTCTGTGTATAGGGCGGTATATAAATTCTATTATTATTATTATTATTATTATTATTATTATTAATAATAATAATTAAGCATTAGCCAGATCTGGAAGATTAAGCTATGGTCTCAGAGCAGTGCAACTGGGTGAGAAAGGATGGATGTCACCAAGTAGAAGTCAGTGTGATGGGCTCCAAGAATGAATGTCAAGTATTATAAGGTTTTGTATTTGCAATGAAGAGAGTTGTACTTACATCCAGGTGAATAGGATGGAGAGGGAGTGGTGAGGTCGGTCACGGTGTTCTGTATTCTCTGTCCAGAGGTGGGATGGAGGGAGGGAGGCAGCCAACCAAACAAACAGGTGGGTTGTCTTAACCCACTAGCCAAGCAAGCAGTGGCAAGTCTCAAGAGAGCATCTGGCTATGTCCTTCTTCGTGCCCAATCCTAATTGTGCCCACAGCAAGGATCTTCCCAGCAGTAGCAAATTTCACAAGATTCTGATCCCCCTTTCCTCTCTGCCTCCTCCCATTCTTTAGGTGACATTAAACAATGTGGAGATCTGCAGTGAAAACATCATGACACTAAAGAAGACCCTGGAGGTACTGTCAGCAGACCTTCCACCACTGATTACCAAGAAAGGTCTTGAGGGCATCTTTCTCTTATCTGTTGTTAGCGTTGTTAGTCTGCACTCTTTGCTCTTGGGAGGCTGCCTGTTGGCCTGACTCAACTCTGCAGTTGGGAGCTTTTATCTAGATTGATTCATTTTCTTAAACTTTTTAACTGGCTCATCCCAGCTGTTTAGGGTGGTAAACACACTTAAATCAGACGAATAAAACTAAGATGCCTGTTAAAATAAGCTACTGGGTTTAAACTGCCCACTGCCTGCTTAGCCCTAGCTGTGATGGTTTGCATGGTGTGAAGAGGTAGAGGCTGTCAGTGAAGTCCTCTCCCACCTCAGCTCTTGCCTTTTTCCTTCGCCCTTTAAAATGTTACCCTTTGCATACTGTGTTGAGCCCACAAAACAGGGGGTTGTGGCAGCGTGTCTTCCCACCTATTTCTAAGGCCAGCCCCCTCCCCCAATTGTTTTCTTCCTGAGGGTTAGTGAGCAGAGGATTCTTCTGTGTTTATTTACACGAATGTATGAGCCCACTCTTTCCTGCTTGCCAGTCTAGCTTCAAAGGCCATTTCTTTAACTTCTCTTTAACTATGTTCTCTCTCACAATCACCAGTCATGTTTCTCCTTTGCTCCTGGTAACAAACAAGGCTCTTCCTGTGCCTCAGGTTCTTTTGTGCTTTCACACAGAGTGACTGTGCCAAGCTGCTTAGCCAGGGGTTTGGGGGTGAACAAGCACAACCCAAGATTGACAGCTGTCTTTCAGACATGGCTGCCATGTCCAACAAGTTTCGAGATCTGTTGCAGGTAAGCTTTCCAATGTTTGAACATGGCCTCTTAGCTCCGTTCAGCAGACAAATCCCAAGAACTGTCTTACAAAATTGCCTAGTGGTGGTTTGCTCAGCAGGCTGCCTCTGATTTCCAGAAATCAACAAGCCTGGGCCCTGCATGAGGCATTCAGCCTCTGAGGCATGAGAACTTCACTGTAAAGGGAGAGACATCTTATTTGGCTGATGCTTAAAGTGGAATCCAGAACAGGGGCTATGATGTTGCAGAGTGGGAAGCCTTTTGTGGGACTGCCTGGGGCAGCACATACCTAGAGCAATATAAGACCAGGCCAGTACCTGACAGGTTGCTGTGACACCCCTTCCCATCCTTAAGCACCTGTGTCTTGTCTCTGGGGCTTCCCAGGACTTTGCCACTTCAAATTGCAGGTGGCCATGCTGTGGCTCCATGGTTGGGAGGCAATCCCTTCCTCCACTGCAGGAGTCGCTCAGACTCAGGCATATATACGTGTGGCCATAAGCCTGCTACCCAGTGTTGTCACTCTCCTTGGTTGCTGCAACTGCAAGCAATCTCCCTCTGTCTTTTGGAGGCAGAGGAGTCCTGTGTTTCATTTGCACCTTTGTCAGGAGCTGCTCTCCTGAACAAAGTTGGTACACATAGGCCAGCAATGGCTAAGAACAGGTGTCTGGTACCTGGTTTTTTAAATATGTTGGTAGATTGACAGAGGTTTTCTCTTTTTCTCCACCTGCTTCCCCACAGGAAGGGTTGAATGAGCTCACTAACTCAGCTATCAAGCCACAGGTGAAACCTTGGATCAACCTCTTCCTGTCAGTCTCCCATAACATTGAAGAGGTGAGTCCTACTGCCTGCTCATTTGAACTGCTCAGATGGTACAGAGAAGGGGCTGTTGGAACAAACTCCTCCTACTTTCCAGCAGAGAAATACAACCAAAACAGCAAGCTAGAGAATGGCTGGGCTAAAACCAACTGGCACAGCTCTCTTTTATGCTGCTGGTAGTTTTAAGTACTCTTGTGGGTTTTAAAGAAAATAACCTTCAATGTTATTTTTACTATATCTTGCACTATCTCAAGCACTTAGAGAGGCAGGATACGTATTTTAAAAATCCATTCTCAGGGGGTGTTTCCTCAAGCCTTCAGGCCTGCGGAAGCAACACCCTCTTAAAAGGAAGTGAATTGCATGTGACACTGCAGGGAAACCTGCCAGGTGCTGATGAAGATGCTTTGGTTAAAAATGCCAGGTCAGTTGAAGGGGATCCTGTGAGCCCTTCTAGCTACAAAGAGGTTGTAAGGATAAATGCCCACCTGTGATTCGGGGGTTTGAAGATCTTACTGCCCTTTTCACATTTGAATATATATCTTACAATATTTCTTGAACACCTATTTGGGCATATGGATAGCTTGCATTAATGTAGATGTTTAAATTAAATTTGATAGGTTATTCTTATCCTTTTTGATGGATTATTCTTGTTAATGGAAACTAATATGGGTTTCCCTCCTTTTTTTCTTTGGTATATTTGGAATAAAAAAGCTTTTAAAAAATTCATGGGCTTGTGCTAGAATGATGGGAGACCCAATCTGTATCCTTTTCCCATTGTAGGAAGAGTTCAATGACTATGAGGCCAATGACCCCTGGGTCCAGCAATTCATCCTCAATCTGGAGCAGCAGATGGCAGAGTTCAAGGTGTGTTTGGGGCCCTGAGCAGGCATTATGTACTCTTTTGTAACCCAGCTTGCCTGTGGCCCTGACGACACATCACAGGCAAGTGGATGTACCACCACAGAGGGGGCCATTAGTGCCCTCCTCAACTCTTCCCTCTCACTTGTTTTCCAGTAACATTGCCCTGTGAGATGCAGCCCTTGTTTGTTTTCTGTCTGCAGGCTGGATTGTCACCGGTGATCTACGACAGCCTGACCAGCCTGATGACCACCCTCATTGCTGTTGAACTGGAGAAGGTTGTTCTCAAGTCTACTTTCAGTAGGGTAAGGAGAGACCTTAACCAGGAGGGCCAGAGAGCAAGCAGCCTGACTGCTCCCTTCTTCCCACTCCTCAGAATTCTTGTCCCTTTGCTCTTCTCTTGGTGGAGCTGGGTTTCTCACAGTGAGAAGCACTTGCTGCAGGCAGCAGCTTCAGTTTAAGAAGCTGAATTTTGTAAACAAAGCAAATGCTGACAAGAGACATGGCAAAGTGAATCTAAACTGTAGAGAAGATTGCATCTGCTTTGCTTCTCTTCTGGTCCTGCTGCTGTGAACTAAGCCATGGCTTGAGGCATATTCTATGGCAGAATCAGAAGAAGAGCAAAGCAGCTGCCCCCTTCTTTCTGGGACCCTGACCATTTATGCCTCATCTGGGCTTTATTGTTGTCGTTTATTTTCACTTTGGTTTGGCTTTATTACCTGAGACCGAATGTTCTCCATCACCCTGTGGCACACCTTTCAGTGTAGCAGCCCCTAACCTCTTGCTCTCCTTTTGCTTCTTCAGCTGGGTGGGCTGCAGTTTGACAAAGAGCTGCGCTCCCTAATTGCCTACCTCACCACAGTGACCACCTGGACCATCCGTGACAAGTTTGCCCGGCTCTCCCAGATGGCAACCATTCTCAACTTGGAAAGGGTGAGCAAGCTTTTGCTCTCTTTGGGAACTGGGAGTGGGGAGGGAGCAGGAAGCAATGACAAGATATGTATGTTCCAGGGTGGGCTCTGACCCATTTGCTCCACTCACCACAACCCACCAGCTCTCCTTGGATTTGCTGTGCTCTGAGTCAGGAACAGATTAATTGTTACTAATGTTCCCAGCTGGCAACAAGACAGTGCAGTAGAGAGAAAGTCACAGGCCTTGCTTTCTCACTCTAGCAGCATCCCATCCTCACAGGGCTGTGGAGACCACAGGCATATGAAAGCCGTGGAGGCTACTGCTGCTTCTTCCACCTGGCTTTATAGAAAGGGTCCAAGATGCCTGGCCAGGCTCCCAGCATTCAAAACAGGCTCCTTTGAACAAGTGCAGAATGTCTCTCCCCTCCCCCACTGGGTAAAGGGCAATCAGCAGCAGGGAGAACAAGGCAGGCAGAGCAGATGCACAGACAGGAGCAGAGGGCTCGATGGCTGACTCACTTGACTTGCTTAGTCCCACCTTTAGAAGTTCAGAAAACTGATGACTAGAGCAAATATAGCATAGACTGAAAATAGTATGCCTCAGTCTCTTCTGTTCAGGTGCTGGTGTTGGGCCTTGCAGCTGGAATCCTCCCATGTCATACGCTGGCTAGAGAGGAGAGCACTTGTGGGCCCATGTTGGGTACATGCTTCTCTTCCTCCACATAGAGCTTAGCATCCAACCCAGCAACATATCAGTCCCACTGCTGAGGACAGGCACAGCTATTGTGTTCCAAGCTGCCCACCTGCTTTTTGGATGGACTGTCACTCTGTTCTTCTGCCTGGTGAATCACTTTGCTTTCCCTCTTCCATTCAGGTAGCAGAGATTTTGGATTACTGGGGGCCAAACTCAGGCCCACTGACATGGCGCTTAACCCCCGCTGAGGTCCGTCAAGTGCTGGCCCTCCGGATGGATTTTCGCAGTGAAGACATCAAGCGACTTCGCCTCTAGCTGTCTTTGCAACAACCTACTCCTGCTAGTGGAGATCACTGGTGCCCTCTTCTAAGAAGGCCTTGCTATGTTCTTAAGACTGGAGGGAAATGCAAGTCCCTTTCCCAGTGGGATCTCTGAAGCTGAAAGAACAACCACCTCAGTATACGTTGGGTAAACTTCAAAACCTTAGTTCCTCCTTCAGAGATTTCCCTCTTGTTTTTCTGCAAGTTGGTACAGCTCGCCTGTTTCTACATCTTTATCATAATGCACAAACATTTCTACACAAATTCAAGTTAAATAGCAACTGAAATTGCCAAGCAATTATTGTAAATTTTAGTTAGTAAGTGGGGCTAAGACCACAGATCAACTAAGTCATAGGAACAAGATGGTGCTTTGGGGGATGTAGACATGTCTTCTATGCCAGTAGATTCTGCATTCTGTCCTTGGTGTCTCCAGTGAAAAGGCTCTTGAGAAACAGAGACAGTTAAGATGCCTATGACCCTGGATAGCTGCCTCCAGTCAGAGTCAACAGTGCTGAGCTCCACCAATCAATGGTCTGAATTCATTTAAGATCCCTTAATGTGTTCATCATATGCTGTGCGGAGGGTGGGTCGATTTACATCAGCAAGGAAATAAAAAGTTTTTCATTGATTACTTCACGTAATTTCCTGAAGAATGCTGCAGATCTGACTGCCAGGCCCTACTAATTCACAACTAAGTATTGTTTTTCACTTGGGTGGGGCAGCTGCTGTTTTCACCCCATCTGCAGTGAAGGAGTGCATGAATCTTCCAAAGAAATACTAAACCAAATTCAGCCACTGAGTCATTCATCCATAGATCTTGCACAGCTGTAGGATGTGGGCAGGAAACGCTGCAGTGCCTATGGTTCCCAATCCTCCTCCAGAAGCTGTATTTGGAACCCAGCTATGTCCACCTCCACAGTGTGGATGCTGAAATTCCCCAGGCCCTGAAAGGAAGGCATGCAGGGTGAGTGAAATCTTCACTACAGAATATTTAAGTCAGAATATTTTGTTCTGCAGCCTGGTGGAACTTCAACACTACAAGGGGGTCGACTCCAACTCCTGACCTGACATCAGGGCTACATGCCCTGGAAGGTCACAGGCCAGTGCAGAGGCCACTCTTCTCTTTGGCCAGGAGGCTACATTCTAGCTCTGAAAAAAATTAGGTTTCTACACACAGCCACGTCTCCATCTGACCAAGCAAAGAGGCATCATCACAACTGAAGAGACCAGCCAAAGCACTCAAAGATTCTGCCAAGCAGTGTTGGTGAGAAGTGCAGCCTTGGCAAGGGGTGTGGCCTAACCTGGGCAGAATCTCAAGGGCCTGTTAGAGAGGCCTGGAGGGCCAAACTCAGCTCCCAAGTGTGAGGCTCCCCCTCCCTGCAACTACATGGTACCCACTCATCACTGAATTTCCCCTCTCCAAATTTCCTTGGGAGAGGGTGTGTATTAACCTGCTCCTGGACCCCAAACCTGCAAAATGTGCCCTGCTGAAATTTCTGCAGGGAGACACCAATTGATAGGGACTTAGGAGCTGGCTCCACTCACCTCTGTTTCCATCAAGATCCTTTGCAAGGCCTCTTGGTTCCTGGGCTCTTTAGTTAAGACATAGAGAAAGCCACCTCCTCCAGCGCCAGCCATGCTCTGCCCATAAACATGAGGCTGGAGCACCTCCATCATGCGCCGGACAGCCAAAGGTTCACACCCAGGGGCCATATTCTTCTTCTGCAGCCAGTAGTGATTCATACACTTGCCCAGGAGAGCCAGGTTGCCTGGGGTGAGAAGGAGGAGTTGCAGGACACTCTGGCATTGAACGATTTGCCCATCTTAAAGCAAAGTTGCTAGGTCTCCTTTCCCTGTCAGATACAGCCATGACAGTGCTCTTGGCTCTAATCACATGGTGTGCATGTCAGCCTTCTTCCTTCTGGGGAAATCTGACACCTGGGCTGGGCTGCCCACCACAGAAGTGGGAAGATAGTAGCTCTGGCTGCTCTTCCCTGCTGCTGCTCTGTTGCTTTCAATCTAGCAAGAGGAGCGCTACAAGATCCAGCTAGATAGAATTGCTTTCCCCAAACCAGTGAGTGCTGGCTGGGGCTGATGGGGCTTGCCCTACAGATGTTTTGGACTACAGCAATTTGGGCAAGACTAAAGCCCATGATGACATCTTAAAAGATGCCCCCCTCCCACTCCCATTGGCTGTTGCCTGGAGTAATTGCTCTGAAGCACACAAACACAACTACCCTGGTAGCTCCTGCAAAATGAGAGCCTGTTCAACATAGGAGGTGGTTTCTGTGCAAGGTGTTTTGAGCAGAGGCGCTGTAGCCTCTGCCCTGGGTAATGAACTGTACAAGATGCCCAAGGAACAAACTGCAGTACCTTGCCGAAGGGCCTGGGCACACTCCTCTGCGTTGTTCACCAGTGCGCTGGCATTCTGCACAATGGTGGGTAGCCGGGCATACCAGTTCCTTAAAACATCCTGAAAGAAAAGGAAGCAATTAAAAGTTGTCTCCGTTTCTGGTGCTCAAGAGTGCTTAGAGGAAGAAAGGCTTAGCAAATTCCTCCTCTACAACCACCCTCCTGCACCTTTGGGGAAGTGCCAGTGTAAAAATACTCTCTTTAACATTGTGCTTTAATTGAGAGCCATCCTGGTGTCATTGGTTAGAACGCTGGACTAGAACCTGGGAGACCAGGGTTCAAATCCCTACACGACCATGAAACTCACTGAGTGACCTTGGGGGCCCGTCAGTGCCTCAGTCTAACCTACGTCACAGGTTTGTTAATGGAGATTAAATTGAGGAGGGAGAGAACCATGTAGGCCACCTCGAGCGTCTTGGAGGAAAAAGTGGGATATAATTGAAATAAATAATAAAATAAATTGCATTTTACGTGACCCTAGGACCTTAGGGTGAAGGGGGAGTAATAAAACAATAAGAACAGTATTAATAAGAATACATGCAACCCTACCAGGTGAGTCATCCAACCTGTGTAGACCAAAACTCAAGGATGAAATGCATCATGCCAACAGCACAGGGAGAAAGGTACGCCTGTTGTAGGATAGGTACAACTCTAAGCTATGTCAGAGCAGTGGACCTCAGGCCACAACTGGCACCTCCAAGCACCTTCCATACCTGGAGCAGGTTGCGGGCCAGGCGGGTCTTGCCCGTGTACAGCAGGAGCAGATGCTCATTCAGGGTGTGTATGAAGCCCTCTGGGACGGTGATTTGCTCCACTTCTACCTTTAGTGGCAGCTGAGGCTTTGAACGCCCAATCTTGAGGCCTGGCACTAGCCCACCCACTTGGTCCTGCCACCCTCCGCCTGCAAGGAACAAGAACAAGTGTTGAGGAAGAGATCCTGCTTGTTTACCAGTTGCCAGGGGTATCCCTTGTGGGAGGCAAGAGGGGTCTCTGATCCAATGGAGAGAAGACTTATCTATAGTTGGGAGCCCTCTTCCTTTCTGAAGCTGACGTGGGAAAGGACAGAAGGACCTTGTTTTGGTTTAATTTGGTTTCAGATATTACACCATGTTTTTATAGTTTAAAAATGTATAATCAGACATGATAAAGCATGGGATAGAATTCACATTATTAACATCACTTGAAGTCCTTTTATTTGTCCAGGCCTGCAGAATGATGATGGCCATTTAATTATTGTATTTTGCTTATGGTTTTATCCCGTTCTATGTTGTAAGCTATCCTGGGCACCCTTTGAGTAGGAACCGTGCCATGGACAGGGGTTATTCAAAAGTGACTTTCCCCGTCAGATTGAGCACCTTTCCATGATGTCTCATCCTCGGCAATATTAGGAAGTAGGTGTGAGAAGCAGAATACCAAAAATAGATCCTTGCTTCAGCCAATATAGATAACACCCACATTGGTTTATCTGAATGTGAATGCTCTGCCCCAGTGGCAAAGCAGCACTGAATGTAATTATCAAAAGAATACAGTAAAGACCCTCCTCCTATGCATCCCATTGCATATCTAAGAGATGCAAATGAGGATCCCCCTGCCATCAACCCAGCCCTCCCCTTTGGCCTGAAAGGGCTGCTCTGCCTTCACTCTCACGCTCATGCATCCCACCCACTGCCTTTTCCTCTTTGATCTAGAACCCTGTTTGCTTCTAATCACTTTTGGCTCCTCTCCACCCCTGGGCACAGGCCCAGATCACAACTCTGAAAAGCTGCCTCTGAAAAACTCTCACTGCACAAGAATCCTTTCATCACAAGGCTAGTTCTCCTGTCTTCCTAGCAAGTCTGGGTCAGGCTGTTGGTGGGGGCTCTGCCTTTTATTATGCACATTCCTTCAGGGCAAAGTCAAAAACACAACCAAAGGGCAGAAGCTACTGGACTGGCCCAGTTGCTTGGAAGGCACCAGAATCCAGACTGGAGTAAGACCTGTTTATGTGTTACTCAAGTGGAGGGCAAAAGTCTGCAAAGCAAGGACTTCCGGGTTGGCGCGATCTGGGAATGGCGGATTCCCTCCGAGCTCCGGAGGGAATCGGCTCAGCGGTGGATGGGTCTTTGCCGTGCCGGCGACACGGGGACCCTTAAAAACCGCAGGCACGGATGCCTGCGGACTGAAGACTCGGCGGGTGCCTTAAGCGCCCCCCCTGATTCGCGAAGAGCCTTTTTAAAGGCTATGGAGGGGATACGGGGGACGGCGCGGCACTGAGAGTCGATCGCTACCGCCGCTGAGCGAAGCCGCGAGCCATAACTGGAGAGCGCTGACTTCCTTCCTTGAAATTTGGACTGGAAAAAAAGAACCCGTGAGTAATCTGGAACTGAACTTTAAAAATTTTTTACCTTCTGAATTTGAGACGACCGGGGGGTGTGCCAAAAGGAAGTCCCCACCCCCCCCCTTGCAGACGATCCAGAGCAACGATATAAGAGCTAAGCTGGAGTGCCTACCCTGCAAAGGGTGAGTTTTAAAAAGACAGTAACTTCCAAGATTTGGAAAGGCAAATTTGAGCAGGAGAGTGGAGTGTTGGAAGAGTCTTTGTTTTGTGGTAAACAACCCTCCCTCCCGGGCCCGGGAGTGACCTGCTTTGGAGCCTCTATAGAGGAGCAGAATTTGACAGCTGTCAAAGCTGTCAAATGGACTGTCAAAAATTGCTATTCAAGACCTCTCCGGATTAAAAGGCGTTACAATTGAATTAAAATTGTGGGAAACAAAGAAACAATAACAGGACAGAGGATTGTTGGAGAAAAGTCCATTAAGTAATCAGATTCCCTCTAGGGGGAATTCTGTGGAATTACAATGGCTGTGGGTGGAAAGATACTGAGAGAAATCGAAAGGATGTTTTCACTGGTGGGAACCTTACAGGAGCAGACTACAGTTATGAGTAAACAATTGATGACCTTGAATTTGGAAACAAGTAGTTCTGCTGAATGTAATGAAGACCTGAGTGAGAAAGAACCCACAGCTGAATTCGAAATAATAAACAAAGAAGAGGAGAAGACAAAACATGAAAGAGAACAAGTTATGTGGGAAAATACTAACCAGAAGCCGGCATTTGGAGAACACAAGCAAGGAGACTATTGGATTAACTCCATTTTAAGCCTACGAAAGATACAGAAGACGAAAGAGGAAGCCCTGGAAGTCTATGGAATTCAGGAGCTTGAAATAAAGAAGTACAATTGGGGCCTCCACATAGACTTTGATTTTGACTATCATCAAGACTTAGGCCTTGCGGAAATTCCTCAGCAGTTGTTTCTAAATATGGGAAGAGACTATGGACTGATTGGATTGATTGTTAAGGAAATCTTTCGAGACTCGATGACCGACAAAAAGGACTACCAACAAAACCGGCGGAGAGGGACTGAAAGAGAGTTGAGAGCTTCGGACATGCGGAACCCAGGCTAAAAAATGTTATTTTGGACATGTCTTGGGAAAGGACGCAAAGCGGGAATGGGAGGGAGGGAAGCATTTAAATTTAAACAACACTCAAGACCAGGGGGTTTAGTTAATAAGAAAATTATTCAAGAAAAAATGAGAAATCGAGGGAAGAGAATTGGGGTCCAACTTAGGGAAAATTTATTTTTGTTTTTATAAAAGGATTAATATCAAGACGGAGAAGGAAATGCCAACTTGCTGACATAAACTTGGGAATAGGGATGCAAGGGAGGGGGGTGGGGGGAAGTCAAGGACTAGGGTTAGAAAATAAGATTTTCGGGAACTATACATGTTTGTTGTCTTTTATGTTTGTTTTGATGTTATGTGTTGTGTTTTTGTCTATATAAAATGTGAAAACCCAATAAAAATATTTAAAAAAAAAAAAAAAAGTCTGCAAAGCAAGGAGGAGGTCACTGACTTAGCTGCTTGGCAGAAGGGCAGGATATGACATTTTAAAAGGAGCAGCAGAGAAGGAATTAAAACATTCATCCAATAAAACATACAGAAATGGGAATCAGACATGGCCAGGACTGTGGAGAAGAGGGAGCAGGTTTGTGCAAGCAACAGAAACACCCCAAAATATCTTCTGGAGGAAAACAGCCAACAGCACCTTTGAAATCACAGCAGTCAAGTGAACTGGAGAGATTTCAGCCAAGTCTTGATCACAGAATTGTAGAGCTGGAAGGGACCACAAGGATAATCTTGTTCAACCACCTGCAATGAAGGAATCTTTTGCCCAACTTGGGGCTTCAATACACAGCCCTGAGATTAAGAGTGTCATGCTGTACCGACTGAGCTACCAAGGCAGATGAAGAAATGCCTTCAAGGCCCTGCTAATGCTATATTTGAGGCTAACTTCAAGAAAAGGAGGACAAGATGGCACTGGGTTAGACATCTCCCTTTCTGCAGATTTTTGGTTTCACTGGCATGTGCAGCAGAACAAATAAAAGGTCTTACCTGTGGTGAGAACCTGCTCCAAATGCAGCACGGCGTGGATGAGGGACTCAACGCTAGTGGAGTGCCCAGATGCCTGGTATAAAGAAGCCATCACAGCCCCCGCCAGGATGCTGCTGGTGCCTTAAGGAGAGACAAGTGAGCACAACATGGCTAGCGGGGGTGGGGGGGTGGCAGGGTGGAGGCCTACCAGTTTTTTTCTTTGTCACTGGAGCCCTATGCCACCCTTTGGATTCCACAGCACCAGATCAGAACCTTGTCATGAGAAAGGGCCAGACTAGGTCAGACAAAAGGCCTCTCTGGCCATGTAGATGCCTCTGAGAAGCCCTACAACAGCCATCTCCAGCTGTTGCTCCCTAGTAACTGGTACTAGTCAATGGTAAAGTGCCTGGAAACTGGAGGTTCCATACACCTAACATCTCATATTCTACTTCTATTTCTGCCGAAAGAGCAACAGTGGCAAACAAGAGGGAGGTATTGGAAAACTCAAGGGAAGGAGAACAAGGTCTGCAGAAGTATATAAAAACCACGACACACACGTAACTAGCTGTAAAGTAACATAACATGATATGTAAATAAAACTGTAATTTTAATCATCATATCAAAAAGCACAGTTCCTGGTGGCAACATATCATATCTTCTATATATATTGGAATAGTCCAAGGATTGTCCAAGGATTGTCAAGTCCAAAGATTACAATGCAGTTCCTGTTGGCAATGAAATGGCATTGCCAACAGGAACTGCATTGTAATCTTTGGACCTGACAATCCTTGGACTTTACGATACCAATATATATAGAAGATAAGATATGTTGCCACCAGGAACTGTGCTTTTTGATATGACGATTAAAATTACAGTTTTATTTACATATCATGTTATGTTACTTTACAGCTAGTTACGTGTGTGTTGTGGTGTTCAAAAGATGGTTCACGTAATGAAGCAATAGTGGTGTTTGTTGAAGTATATAAAAAAGCACTGAACTTGAATGGAGGAAAGGAAGGAGAGGTGAATGGGGTTCTCATCTCATGCCTTTGGGGCAGGGCAGGATACACGAGGCCCCTCTAACGTCAACAAGAGAAATGCTGCCAGAGCGGACCTGAGGTCTTTGCTAGGTCCCCTTGAGCAATGCCAGGCATGCACATAGAGAGGTTGGAGGCATACCCAGTCCTGATCCGTGAGGAAGACGTGACCAGGTGCAGAGTTCAAAGCCGCCTCCAAAGTGTTCCATCAGTTGCTCCCGCAAGGAATTCTGAGAAGCAAGGTCCACAATGTGGGTGCAAATCAAGGCTGCTTTCAACAAAGCTCCTAAGAAGAAGAAAAAAGATGGGAGTGGAAGCCAGGAGAGCCCCTTTCTGGCCCACAGTGGAAAGAAATGAGACCTGGACTCGGGAAGGGGCTGGCGGGGTTGCAGTTAGGATCTGAACTCAGGAGTGGGAATGCAATGAAGCTTAACAGGCCATGGTGGGGAGATCAGGAAGGGAAGCACTTCGAAATTCAGCAGGAGTGACGCTGGAGGGCGGGCACAATTCACAGCAAGAATCAAGATGGCATTGCAGAGAAACAGGCCTCATTCCAAAGCATTGTGATCTAGTAGGTGAGTAGCTGGTCCTGAGGCCCATTAAAAGAGAGGCTACTCTCAGGCCTCCGACAGACATGTGAAAACAAAAGGCACATTTTATAGCAGATGCAACTCTGCCTAGAATCATAGGAAGCTGCCTTATAACAAGTCAAACCTTGGGTCCATTTAGCTTAGTATTGTCTACACTGACAGGCGGCAGTTCACCAGGATTTCAGGCAGTCCAACCTGGAGATGCTGCCGGGGATTGAACCAGGAATCTTCTGCATGCAAAGCAGCTATTCTACCACTGAGCTACAGCCCAGCTAGTACAGGGCTCCCTACTGCCACCTGATATGTCTCTCACAGTGTTTCCTCACAGCAAGCAAGGAAGCTGCTTTGGTACAGTTGCTCCCTTCCCGCTCCAGGAAAAGGGGCTCTTACCGGGTGCGTGAGGCTGGCAGTAATCCCGCAGGTCTTCCAGGTCTCTGCAGACCAGCTCCACCACCATCTCTCCCTCCAGCCTCCCGCTGCGGCTAACGAGCCGCAGTTCTGGCTCGGCAATGCGCCGGGCCTGTGCACCAATGGGCCTGTGCCCATCCACCAGGACGGCCAGGTCCACCACTGCGCCTCCGTGTTCATACGTGATGGGAGGGGTGTCGCTCCAGCCACCTGCAAAAATTAGCCCAAAGGGGGTCACGTAAGAAACCGCACAGCCTCCTGCCCAACCACCCACCCAAGCCCATAACCAAAGAGTGGGACTCTCCCCAGGAGACCTTGCAGTGCTGCAAAGGATGCTGGGTGCTGCTTGCACCCAACTCATCTTCTGTGCCCTTGCATGAGACCCTGCACATCATGCTTCTGCTCCTCAGTGAGCCCAGGGCTTGCTTCTGCCTTGCAGGGGAAGGATCCCCCGGCACTCAAGGCAGGAGCCGAACGTCACTCACAGCCCCTTCCCTATCAAATCCCCTCTGCACTGTCCTGCACAAGCTCCCTCCCTCCATTCAAGACCACACTGAGTTGTGTTCTGTGGAGCAGAAGGACAAGGGCCCCTGCCAAGCCTCCCCAGGCTTCCCAGCTTGGCCCTCTGGGCACAAGGCACCTGGGGTCGAAAGAGGCAAGCGGCTACCTGGCTCCAGAAAGGGCAACTTGACAAGCCCAGGCCCAGCAGCCACTTACCAGAGAGGTCTATTCTGGCTGGGCAGGCCGCTCTCAGCCAGCGGCCCATGGGAGGCAGTGTGGCCAGCCTGAGGCTGATGAACTGGCAGGAGGACATCACAGCCTGGCGGACAAGGATCTGCTCGGCACCCTCATAGTGTCGAGCAGCGCGGACAAGGAGGACAGGCCTGCAAGGAAGGAGCAAAGGGAGTCTCTGGTTGCTTGGGCTGCTTCTGCCAACAGCCTTCTCCAACTGGGTGCCCTGCAGTGGTCCAATACTTCCATCAGCATGAGATGCTGTGAGTCAGCATGGTCATAGATTATGCGGGGACTGATGAGAGTTGTAGTCCTAGGCTGGCGAAGGCTGCTTGATTGGCCAAGTGCTTTTCCGTCTCACTTGTGTTTGCCCACACAGAGGCCATCCTGAGGGAAACTCTCCTTCCCATTTTCCCAGTGGGGTGAGTTCCACTCAGAGGCATTCCAGGACAGAGGCAGCTCTTTCATGCAGGCCCCAGATTCTTCTCCCGTCCTCTGTCTGCCACCACAGGCTTGCTCTGGAGGGCCACTTGTGAGCCTCTGTCCCTTACACAACTCCAAAGGCCTCCATGGGCCCAGGCATCTGCTCTGCAATACCCCATGGACATCAGAAGCAGAATTGAACCCTTGGTCTATGTAGCCCAGTCTCTGACTGGCAGCGGCTCTCCAGCATCTTGGCGGAGGAGGGTCCCTCCCATACATGCAGCATTTTATTTGTATGCCCCCTTTCCATAGTTAAAACCATGCTCAAGGCGGCTTACAACATGAAAAACATACTTAATTAGAAATATAACGAAAACAGCCATAAACAGTAAATAGAACACATCAGAAGCTGCACAACCAATTTAACAATTCCCACATTAAATCATAACAAGATATAAAAATAAATGTACATAAAATTATTATCAACAACAGTAACAACTGTCCCCGCCCCCCTCAACAACATCCGAGCCCAAGAGCCTGTTCAAGAGCCTCAGCTTTTGTAGCTAGAGTCAGTCAGGGACCTGCCCAACCAGGCCAGGTGGAAAAAGGCCTCCCATCACCTGATGCCAGGATTTGAGCTTGGCTCAGGTGCTTTGCCACTGCACACCTGCCCTTCCCCTGGGGCCAGCCCACCTGGAGCAGCTGAAAGGGGGACACATTGAGCATGTTCCTTCCCTCCATGCTCGCGGTGAGTGCAGGAAACAGCATGGCCTTGAGCAGTGATGGCAAGGTGTTCCTGGTCATGTGCAGACTGAGCTTTGCACAGAGAACTTGCCTTTGCAAGGCAGATGGACAGGTGGGGCCAGCAGGAATACAGCCTTACAGGAATACACACACACAAACACAAACTTGCAGTACCTGTCCAGCCACTTCTTCCTCTCCTTGGCCAGCTCCTTGACACCCTCAGGGATGTCCCCCTTCTCAAGGTGCTGGAAGGCCTGGGCCCAGGCTGCGTTGGCTGCCGGGCCGCTCCGTAAGCCCCCTTCCCCTTTGGCCAGGCAGCCCAGGAGGTCAGCAATGCAAGCCAGGGATCGAGCAGCAACACCAGGGTCTTTGGCCATGGAGGCAACTAGGAGGCAAACAAGACGTGTCCTCAGAGCCTGAAAAGTGGCTCTTTGGCTTGAAACTGGGCTGGTCCTGGGAATGGCTACAGCTGGGAACATTGGGAGGTTTTAATGGGTGTCAAAATGGGCTGCAAGAACTCCCCAGAGCCAGTGGTCCATGGGAGGGCTGGGAGGAACCGTCTCCACAAAGCCTGCGTGGATTCACAACGCAAGTGTCCCTGGAGCCAAGAAGAGTGGAGGGGAAAGAACCCTTTCTAGGAAGACCTTCGCCCACATGGGCAAGGCCAGTCCGCCATCTTTGAAACCAGCCAGGCTGGGCAATGGCAGAGCTGCTCACTGAGGTGCTGGTGGGTGGAGCTGCCAGACTCCCAGGGAACTCTGGGAATAGATAAAGCAGAGCTTCCCACTTCCCCAGACTGGGGGATAGGCAATCCAGCTGCAGCCAGAAGGAACCAAGGTGGAATTCTCACCCAGCTGTTGGCAGGCATTGGGTAGGAGCCCCCCACTTCCTTCTTTCCTTCCACTCCCATATATAGGCACCCTGCAATTAAAGGGGCAAAATGCTGCCCCAGACACACAAACACACACACACCCTGCCAGTATGTCTCACCCTTGTCCAGTGTCTCCAGCATGGCCTTGTGGTAGCCCTCCAGGGCTGCAGAGCGGATCAGCGGTAGGAGGCTGCAGTTGCTGTGCTCCATCAGGACCCTCTTGGTCTTGCTCTGGGCCTGCAAGAAGAAGGTGGCCCTGCGGGCAGCCAGCTCTGCCTCCTGGTCCAGGCTCCCCTTCAGCTCCTCCCAGGACATGCGCCAGGAAGTCCGCCAGCGCTGCAGCTGCTCAGCCCCTGGAGGAGAAAGCGGGGAGCCCAAGAGCCAGAGGACGTCCCCAACTCCCAGGGGCTCGGAGGCATGCAGCACGGGGAACAGGCGGGCATTCAGCAGGCAGCGGCGGCTGGAAGGGATGTCTGGGCTCCAAAGGTCATGACTCCTGGGCAGGGCAAGGATGGTGGCATGTCAGTCACTACCACCCAGCAAAGCACGGAAAAGCAGCCTCAACCCCACAAGGAAGGAAGGTGGCAGCCCCCAGCCACAAGGCCACAAACCAGTAAAGTCCCCCACTGCAAGTGATGAACAAAAAGGCTGCTTTGTCCCTCATTTTTAACGGGACTGTAAGGATCAAAAATCCAAACTTGCAACACAGATTGTGCATTGAATATGAAATACACCCTGAAAGTGTCTCTTGAATGAGTATCAGTTGCACAAATTGAAATCTTGTCTTAATTAGTTAATGATGAGCCCCAGCACCTAGAGCTCGTGTCCAAGGAGGCATTTTTAATTTTTACAGGTAAAGGTAAAGGGACCCCTGACAATTAAGTCCAATCACGAACGACTCTGGGGTTGCAGCGCTCATCTCGCTTTAAAGGCCACAGGAGCCGGCGTTTTTCCGCTTCCACAGACAAATTTTCCGGGTCATGTGGCCAGCATGACTAAGCTGCTTCTGGCAGAACCAGAGCAGTGCATGAAAACGCTGTTTACCCTTCCCGCCAGAGCAGTACCTATTTATCTACTTGCACTGTGTGCTTTCAAACTGCTAGGTTGGCAGGAGCTGGGACTGAACAACGGGAGCTCACCCCATTGCTGGGATTCTAACTGCCGACCTTTTGATCGGCAAGTCCAAGCGGCACAGCGGTTTGTGTTATACTTTTCATACACTGTTCAGGGGCAATTGTAGATAAGCAGTACATAAATAAAATAAATGGAGGCAGAGCAGCAGCTCCACAGCACAGGGTGGGGGTGGGGTGGCTGATGTGTGGGGCCCTCAAGAGAATGGGCTGGGACCTGCACACGTACCGTATTCCAGTGCGGAGGAAAAACTCACTCCAGGGCCTGTTCAGGTAGGTGCCGCCTTCTTCTGCCATACTCTAAAGAGAGAAGAGGGCAGGCGTGAGTGTCTCAGAGAAGGAGGAATAACCAAGAGAACAGAGGTGGGGTGGGATGGGGCAGACAGTTCTGGGGTTCTTGAGGTCACCTGCCTCAAGACAAACTGCCGCCCCCAGCTCTCTGAAGGAAGCAGCAGAGTTGCTGTGGGGAGTGGGATTCCCCAGAGACTTGCAAGGTGCCTCCAACCTGTATGGGCTCCTTCCCCCCCGGCCAAGCTGACTCCTGTTACACACCTGCCAGTCATCATGATGCCCACTCAGGGTGAAGACCTTGCAAGGGATCCCTCTCAGCCTGACAGTGTGTCCCTGGACAACCACGTCCCGAAGCAGGTAGCTCCTGAGGACCACGGAGGATGCCATGTCCAGCCCAGTGAGGAGGCAGCCAGGGTGGATCTCCAAAGGACCCTGGAGAAAAAGACCAAAGGGACTCGGGCATTTCTGACACACACTCAGCTCTCCTGCCACTGCAGGGAGTCCACACGGGGCTTGTTCTTTGGGTCTCTGAGTTGGCAGGACAGCTGGGAGAGAGGGGAGACTATTTGCCCACTGCCCCAGGGCAAAGCCCACCTGGAGAAAGCAGGCCTGAGATCCTGGCTCAAGGTTGCTGCAGCCAAGTCACCCTGTCTGCCTGAGTGTCAGGCAACTAGCTGGCTGGGGAGAGTTGAACTCTCAAAGCAAAGGAGGGTAGGCAAAACACCAACAGCTCTGGCTCCCTGCAGCCTGTTTACAGCAGTTCTGCCCCCCTCCTTCCCTCCAAGGAGCTCACGGTGATGGATATGGTTCTCCACCCCTTCAGTTTATCCTCAGAGCAGCCCAGTCAGGTAGGTCTGGTTGAGAGGCCGTGACTGGGCCAAGGTCACCCAGTGAGCTTTAGGGCTGAGCAGGAGATTCAAACCCTGGTCTCCCAGGTCCTAGTTCAACCCTCTTAACCCCTACACCACACTGAACCTTGGGTCCTTGTCCTCCTCATATCATCTCCTACCCTGGGCTTGATGCTACCAAACCTCAAGGCTTGGCCTAAATACCACCTCTGGGATTGGTGCCTGTTCCAAATCCACCAAAGATAACCCTGGGTCACCAGAGAGAACTTCTGGCGCTCAGCAGAGAACAAGGGCAGTTGCCTTTACTCCCATCCCCAGCATGGCCCACCTTCAAGCGGCAGTGCTGGATCACGCTCCCAGGCCCCACTTTCACTGCTCCCTCCAAGAGGCTGTTGGTGACAGAGCAGCCCTCAGCCAGCAGCTGAGGCTCCTGCATGGGAAGAAAGAGAAGGAGGGGTCATGGTGAGGCAGGGAAGTCCAGGAAGTCTTGGCAGACTCTGCCTACATAAGCTGCTAGTCCTTATGGGTGGGGAGCAAAACGTGCAATCAAGTGGGGCAGCATCAGGTGAAATGCAAGGCCCCAGAGTAGAGCTTAGCAGAAGGAACTGCCCCATATGAGCCCCATGGCAGCTCTTTGCCCCTTCCCCTTTGGCAACAGCTGCTCCTTCTGTCCTCAGTTTGTGCCCACACCTTCTAAATTACAAGAAAACCAGAATTTTGGAATCTTAATTATGGAAAATTGTCTCATCAGCAGAATGCACATAGACTTCAGTTTCACCCAGTTGCATATCACACCTGCTGCCCCACCCTGCCAAGCACACACACAACTGTGCTGCAGAGAAGGGCTGCTGGGGTGGCGTGAGGGACCCTCCCACCAAAACAAGGCACTCAAGAGCCTCTGAGGCATCCCCCAACCAGGGGTGGTACTCACAGCCACATGGGAATGTGCCACTTTGCGGAAGGACCTGCTGCGGGCATTGCCTGGGTGGGGCGTGAGGTGGCGGATGTGGTCGCTGGCAGACATGGTCATGTAGTCATAGCAACCCTCAGGGATGTACGCTGTGAAGAGGGAGGAGCCAGAGGCCACAATTGGCACCTCAGAGGGTATCCCACACCAACAAGGCCTCCAAAGGCCTCAGGAAGGAAGGTCAAAAGAGGGAAGCCAGAAACGTGTTATGTAGCCAGCTCAAGTCCTGCACAGAGTAGACCCACTGAAATCAATAGACACAGCTGACTCTGGTGTGCTCTGAAGTAGAACTTAGCTGCCTATACAAGCCAATGTGTTTTGTCTGCCCCAGGGCTCAGGATGGCAGCCCCTCTCCTGCCTCCTGCCAGAGGAAAACAGCCTCCCACCACTGCAGAAGAGGAAATGGAGAGAATCTGCAAGCTTGTTTCCCTGGAGGCGGATATCGGGCTTTTGTGTGCAGTGTGCCCCTTGCCTCCCCGCTGGGTTCCCTTGCCCACACCCTAGGACAGAAAGCGATGCGCTGCCCCAAAAAACCAGCATTGCCAAACGGTGGAAGGGAGGCCGATTTCACCAACCAGATGTTTTTGACAACCAGCATTGTATAGCTGTGCTAGCTACAGCTGCTGAGTCAAAGTTCAAAACATCTTGATGGCACCAAGCATCAGGCTGGAGAGGCTGGCTGGCATTGGACGAGGCAAGTTCACAACCTCACCCATCGTGAGAGGCACAGCATGGAGAGCTTTCCACAGCACGGAACGGGCACTTCTCTCTGACCCTGCCTCCTGGACATTGTCGCCGCTGCCCATCCCTGGTCTCTGACCCTTCACAAAGGCCTCTTCGCCGACTCCCTTGGCCATGCAGAGCAGGATGTCGAAGAAGAGAGAGAGCTGGCATGAGGGAAGAACAAGGAGGGGGCAAATGATTCTTCTGGACAGGGAAAGATCTGGCTCCACAAGGAGACACCCAAGCGAAGCATTTGCACATCATGACAAGTGGAGGGACAGTTTCCAAGCTGTGCAATGGACTGACTGGAAGAACAAATGGGGTGGGTGGGAGAAATTGAAGGAACACTGTCTCAGGTTAAAAGCTGCCCAGAGGGGCTTGCAGGGATCTGCAAGGAAGCAGGCCTAAGAGCATAAGGACAGCCTGCAGGATCAGGTCGGTGGACCATCTCTTCCAGCCTTCTGCTCTCACAGTGGCCAGCCAGATGCTTGGGAGAAACCCACAAGCAGGAACTGAGCACCAACAAACTTAAAGTAGCATGGGGACAGGCAAAGGAGGATACCTTCACCCAGTGTGGCTCCCCTTTATCACATATAGAGGCCAAGAAGATAATGACCTATCCAACCCAACAACATATGAATCAATATGACTAATCTGACCCAACGACCCCATTCTCACGCATACAAGCAAATCACATTGCAATCAGCCAAGGTCTGATAGAGGACCAAAGCACATGATGCTGACACAAACACCCTGCACAAACATTACGAAACAGAAAATCATTATCCCTACCGTCTCTCCCCTCCCCGTCTCTCTCTCCTTTCTCTTTTCTCCCAACTGCATAATGCAGATGACAAGAGTGTTTCATACCGAATGCAAACAAACTGTGGTAAAGACTCTTATGAATTGAAAGTGGAGACACTACATGTACTTCTCTTTGTTTATTTGCTTGTTTGTTACACAAGAAAATCTTTAATAAAAAACTTTTTTTGAAAAGAGCACATTTCTCTCCCGCGGTTTCTAGCAACTGGTATTCAGAAGGGTATTACCTCCGATGGTTGAGGCAGAGAATAGCCATCATGGCTAGTAGTGGAGGATCTCTGGGCTCAGACAAAAGCTCACTCACTGTTCCGCAAAGTGCAGAAAGAGGGAAGCTGTGCAAGCTCCAGTGGTCTCTGTCTTAGGGAGGTGTTATTCCCCCCCCCCCGAAAAAAGGGTATTGCATACAGAAAAGAAGAGGAGAGAGAGAGGGAAGGGGCTTCTCAAAGTGCCCCCCAAAACCCCATTTATTGTAGTTGTTAATGCCCATTGAGAGGTGGAATAGCTGCTTCAGCGGGAAACAGTTTTGCCAGAACACTGAATACTGTTTAGGCTGCTTCCTCCTTGGCCAAAGGCAACCTCACTTGTATAAGTCATAAGAAGAGGGAGGGACAGTGGCGTAGCGTGGGGGGTGCAGGGGGGGCGGCCGCACCGGGCGCAACATCTGGGGGTTAGGGTTAGAGGGCGCAAATCCACGGGTTAGGGGGTGCAAATTACTTGCCTTGCCCCGGGTGCTGACAACCCACGCTACGCCACTGGGGAGGGAGGCCATTCCTCCACCACACAAACACACACACCTGCAAAAAGCTGCCAAGATTCAGGAGTAGAAAGAAATGATGGGGGAGACCACCAGCAATTATTACTACAGACTGCATCATGGCATAAATTCCACCGAATACAAGATGAAAGCAGAACAAGATGCAGACACAAATCTCTGAGAACAATAATAAGATCAGTTAAACAAACTCAGATCTTCCACACACACGCTAAAGAAAACATTTCACCAGGTACAAAATTGATCTTCCACAAATGGTAAGGTTACACCTCAGGGAAAGCCTTCCTCTAAACAAAAACGACTTCCATAAGCACTTAAACATCATCTCAGGGGGTGCCTGACTGTTTTTGGTTGGGAATTGATTCCAGAGAGCTTATGCTGCAATACTAAAAGCCTGGTTTCTAATGCAGGCTAAAGACACCTCTGGGGCCGGCAGTACTCTGGGGCTGCAGTTGCAGGGCAGCCATCTATGGTGCAAGGCAGCCATCTATGGGGCAAGGCAGCTCTTTGACCCTTGAGATATGAAGAAAATGCTTTTGTGACAGATTATGCAAAAAAGCCCTCTCAGGGTCAGATCATGATGTCCTTGGCTGCTTGAGGCATTCTTCCCGACGCCCAAGAAACCATCACTGCAATCTGAACGCTAAAGCCAGCCCAGCCTCAATGCCACCTGCCTCCTCATAGGGGAAGATGGGGAGCGGGCAACACAACTGCAGCTCTGTTGTAGCATGTTTTGGTGCGCATGGGCATCCCAACATTTTGCAGCTGGAGCACTGAGCTTCCAAAAAAACCCACCAGGAAAAGAGGTAACTCAAATGGAGGAGAATTCACCATGGCAGGGAAGCCTTGAAGGGTTTGCAAAGCTGCAATAGGACCTGAGAACACTAGTGTGCCCACAATCCTCACAGCACTGCTTCCTGCAATAGCTGTTACTGCGAAGAAGTGGAGGGGGGGCACATTCTCCCAACAACTCAATGCTGCAGTTGGAGAACAGGGGAAATGCTTTGCCCAGGAGCAGATGTGATAGGAGGTGGTGTTGGGGATATCCTCTGGATCACTCGCATTGACTGGAGGCAGCAGCCCATTCTGGGCCTGGGAAGACCCCAGTTGGTGCCCTCCAGATGCTGGCTGCAGATGACGGGAGCTGTATTCCAAGAGGATGCCATGTCAGCTGCCCCCCCACCCCCCACTTGACTTGGCAACTCTTAACACAATCTTCAAGAGCACCTTGACCTCAAACTCAGGTTGTACTGGCCTTTTGAAGGCTGACTCAATGGGCCCAAAGCCCCACAGCTCACTCACCTGGCCTTCACCCTGCGACCATCCATTGTGGGGGTCTCTGGCCAGGGGCTTGCTGCCGGCCACTCGGGACTTCCCCCAGACCAGCTGCATTCACACCTGGGCAGATTCATCTGCAGCCACCCAGGTGATTTCCTCTTCCCTAACCTGCCTCTTCTTAGGGGCCTCACCTGGATGGCGGGGGCTCCTGAGTCCAGCCCCAGGTAGGTGCAGGCATCAAGGGGTGGGATGACATGGGTGGCCAGAAGCTGCTCCGCTGCTTCAGAGGAGAAGAAGACAACCCCACACACCTGCAGGGGTAATAAGAAGCTCAGCTTTTCTAGGGTTTTCAGCCCTGCAGACTAGTGAGATTTCAAGAGTTTCAGGCAGATGGTTCTGAAGCAAGCTTACCCTGCAACTGAGGGCTCACCCACACTTAATTTTTGCCCTGCACTTTCTAGCTACAGGTCCATGCTCCCCCCCCCCAAATTTCCACAGGAAAACCAGTTCTTTGATGCAGAATCAGAATACATAGCAATTTGGGTTTCCATGGATTGCCATTTGTTCTGGTTCAGTCTACCTCTGAATACCAGATGATGGGGAATAACAATGGGAATGTTGAAGTTTCACTCGGGTCCTGCTTGGGGGCTTCCTTTCCTTGGGGGCATCTGGTTGGCTATGGTGAGAATGTTGGGTCGGCCAGGGGCATGGACAACCCCCAGGAAAATGACAGGAACATTTCCAGCTTGTCCCTCCCATCAGCGTGCAGCTCTAGGGGGTTCAGAAAGCCTTCCCCGATGATTTATAGTGACTCATGTCTTGGAGACATTGAGCACACATCCAGAAACTCAACAGAGAATAGGATGCTGCACTAGATGGGTCTGATCCAGCTGCACGGCTCTTCTTGTGACTCCAGCCCAGGCCCAGAACTCACCAGCGGGACCTTCCCGTCTGGCCCCACGCACTGCTGGATTTGGTCTTTGGGGCTTTGGTAAAAGATGTCTTGCACCACCCCCTGGAGGGACAAGGATGAGCAGAGTTACCCCAAGCTAATGCACTTGGGCAGCAATTATCTGTGAGAGGAGGGCCTAACGAGACATGGTGCTAATCACTTTGTTGGCTTTTTAATTTTTTATTTATCTCTGACATCATAGCCCGGAGACTGAGGCTTTCACCCTTTGTATCCTCCACAGTCCTGATCTGGGCTGCATCTGCCAAACCACATCTACAGTATCTGCCCTGAAAGGAAAGATACACAACTATGTCTTCTTACGGGACCCATGAAAGTAGTGGGGCAAGTGAGGAGAGGCATCTTCAGATGCTGCCAGGTTTGTAGCTCCCATCAGACCCTGCAAGCAGCATGGCTAATGGCCAGGGGAGATGAGAATGGGAGTCTAGCAATGCCTGGAGGAAAGCAAGCAGCCCAGGAGAAAGATGCCATCAAAGGGAAAAACACCCAAAATAACTCTGGGCCTGAAACTTGTTGTCCCTTACTTTTGGGAATTGGGTTTCAGGGAGATGGTTCTGCAGCAGGCTTGCCCTGCAACTGAGGGCTCACCCACACTTAATTTTTGCCCGAAAGGGTCGTCCAGGATGCTCCTCTGCCTGTCCCAGGCAGGGGGTTATAGGGGCAACTGGGTGGCTGCTGGAAGAGGCTTGGGCGAGGTACCTGAGTGTCAGCGAGGTAGACTCCATGCTGCCTGGCATAGGAGATGCTCCCGGGCACAGCAATGACTCTCACCCCCTGGAATCCATGCCAGTCGATCTCTGGGAGGGAAGGGGAGGCATCCAGCTTTACATCAGATTTGGTAAGTTTTGCCCATTGAGGAACACCCACCCACAACCTCCCAAAATAGAAATCAAAATTAAAGGAACACCTCAAAATGAATCAGGGGAGGAGAAAGAAGGCACTTTTCAGCCATTCCTCAGGACGCAACCTCTTCCGGCTTGCAAAGAACCACCACTCTCTCCCAGCCAGTCCTTGCAGCCTCTCATACACCTCACCTGTCATGGTTGGAACTGTGAGAAGCATATCTGTGCTGGAAACCCAGACCCCTGGGGGGGAGCCTCTGCACACCTGGAAATGGAGGCAAGGAGGAGGAATTTGAGCCTGTAGGAGCAGGAGCAGAACCTCTGAGCCCCTGCAGGACACGGTGGGGGTTGGCAGGGAGAGGAGATGAGTGGAAGGCTTGCCCCCAATCTCAGCAGGGCCAGGGCAAAGCCCACCAAGGCACTGAAACAGGACAGCCTGCAAGGATCCGCTCCACTGACCTGGTACATCAGGGTTGCAAGGAGGCTGTCCAGGTTGCAGGTGAGTGCCTCAGCGGGGGCCACAGGCTCCTCCAGGGGGAGGCAGGTGAATGCTCGGCTGCAGTCATCGAATAAGAAGTCCCGGCCCTGCCAAGAAGGAAAGCAGAATAGCAGAGCAGCAGAGGGAGAGGCTGAAGGCACAGCCTCCAAGTACTTGGGCTGAGGATTAGAAGCAGGTTGTCCCACCCTAGAGGAGGGAAGTCTCCTGCTGTGGAAGCTCTTCTCCTTGGTGCCCGACTAGAAATGAGGCACCACCCTCTTACTCTTCTGAGGATCGCACCCAAGCACGGTCAGTGCAGCCCCACCACAGAGCTCACCATGTGCAGAATGAGGATCCAGGCCTTTTGCAAGACATCAGATGTGACCACCTGGAAGGAACATTAGAGGGGGGTCTCTTAGATTAGGAAATACAGTGGTCTGGAAGCTGAGAGACAAAAGAGGTGCCATGAGCAGGGCAGAGGAGACAGAAGGAGGCAGCCTGGGGTCAGGGATCCTAGGAGTCCATTCTAATTACTGCTTTCATAAATGTCTACATCTTCTATTAGTTTGATTTTTTAAAAATTAAAGAGAAATAAATAAATGTCATAAATGCATAGAGAAGGGGTGTTGGCACTTAGCTGGCCACTGTGAGAACAGGATGCTGGGCTAGGATGGGGCCTCGGCCTGATGCAGTGCTGTGATGGTACCAGGGCAGATATCACAACATTGCCCTCCCATACCTGCTCAGTCAATAGGTGCCCTTAGGCATGAGGGTGGGGGGATTCTGCTGGCGGAGGTCAATTGGCACTTGTGTTCCTCCCTTGCTCACCGTGTAGCCTGCTCGAGCGCTCAAGTGCTCAGCTGCCACCAGGAGCGCGTTGAGAGTGGCTCCTCCACTGCCAACCTGGCCCTTGGGGTCTTCAACCGTGAGCAGGATGGGCTGTCGCCCCAAGGAGCCCCGATCCCTGCGGATCTCCAGCTCTGGAAGCCAAATGAATAGAGACTCAGTTAGTAAACACAGGTCACAGCATAGAGAGGGCGAAGGAGGGAGGCCCCTGCAGCTTGTGAGAAGCCCTGGAGGTAGGAGTGGAAGGGTCAGTGGCTCGCTCCCTGGTTGGTCCCAGCCTTTCCTGCATCCCTCAGTCCTACCAGCCCTTGTCTGATGGTGGTCCAGCCATGCCTGCCGGTGGATTCCCAAATACTAAAAGGTTTCAGGGTCACCCAGGACATTGCTTGGGCTTGCTTTTGGTTAGGCAACAGAATATTAAAAGCTCATAATTAGCTGCTAAGCCTGCCACCTCCCCAAAGACATCAAATCTAGCCTAAGGGCGAGAATAGCAGTTAAAGTATTGTCTAAGATCAACAATATGTAGTCAGTGAAAAAATTAATACCATACTGGGTTGAGTGAGGTGGCCTACAAGCTCCACTCCAACTTCATTGTTCTGAGTCCCACCCCCCTCATTTTTAATTCAGCTCCAGCCCTAACCTTGCCCTGCAATGTGTTGGCTCGGATCCCTGTGTGGACAGGAAGGCCTCCACTCACCTTTTTGGAAGGCAAAGACGCTGTCCTTGTGCTGACATGTCAAAACGATGACGGTCCAGTCCACCTCTCCTCCAGCCATGCGTTTAAAACAGGCCTCTCTGCTTTTCGCACTGCTGAGCCTGCAAATAAGGGAGCCACCTGCCAATCAAGCTCAGCTTAAAAGCCACTGATCTGAGTGACACAATTACACAAGTCCTGCCAAATCACAAGGTTGGACCCCTCCAGTATCATCAGTGAACATGGAAAAGGGGGTGGCATATGTCAGCGCAGCCATGCAGTTCTTGGGTCTACTGAAGAGCCAACACGATTTTTTTGTTGGACTACAACTCCTATCACCACTGAACACTGGGTCATTTTTGGCTATTGCTGATGGGAGATGGAGTCCAACTACTTCTGGGGGACACCATATGGGTGCAGTGGGTGAAGAGAGCAGGGGAACCAGTGTTCCAATTGCTGTCTGCTTACGAATCTTGCTGGCTGATGAATGTGGGCTACCTGCTACCTGTCTCACTGGACTACTGCAAGACCCTATGCCTGCCTGTAGGTAAACCTAAGTGGGCATAACTTCCCTGATGCATACATTGTTCTTTCCCACTTCCCTCCTCCTGCCCATGCAATCTCAAATATACATTGGATGCCCCTTGCGGGACAGGGGTGGGTAGGGCAGTGGTGGCTCTCCTCTGGTGCACTCTATAAACACCAGGAACATCATGGATGATATTATATGTAAAAATAAATAATACAAAGGTTACTGCATATCACCAAAGGGCATTGCATTTATCACTCTCATACTTCACTCAAAAAGAGATTGATTCATGTTCACTTCCTCCTGGATAAAGTTTATTTATGCTGATAAAGTTTTTTGGTCTCAAAGTTCCCCAGAAGGCAAGGGATCCTTGATAGGTCTGTGGGGAGCTTTGGGTCTCTGGCTTTTGTGGTCACTTCCCACCATTCTGGCAGCAAAGCAGTTGTGAAGATCCTGCTCTTTCGGCGCTTTTGCGAAGCCCTCCCATCCCAAATGAGTTGTGCATCATTCCTTCTTTCACAAGCTGAACAAATTAAGCTGAATATATAAATATAAAACATGCAGAATTAGCATGATTTATACCGGCTGCAAAATTTGTTTTTCTCTAATGCCACTGAACATAGACATAAGTGTTTTAATCAGCACAGCCTGGGGTAAAAAGAGTCCTGGGCATTAACTTGGGCAGGGAAAACAAAACAAATTGTGTCAGGACCACTTGGCATTGGCATCCTGCCCCCCTGCCCAAGTAGGTGACCCTATTTTGTTTTGTTTTTTTAAAAAGATTTTTATTAAGGTTTTCAAAATATTACAAAAAGAAAAAAGAAAAAATACAGAGTAAAAACAGTTAAAAACAATTCAATCTTTCCGTGTCTTATCTTTCATTTGCCTGTTCCCTGGACCTCCTCACACCTCCCTTTTTTGTATCCAGTTCAATTAGTTGGTTCAGCAAATCCTTTCCCTCTTTGTTTTTATCCTAATCTTTAGTCTTAATATATTATAACTTTAAATTATCACCTGTTAACAATCCATTTTTGCACATCTTTTTAACATTACTGCTGAAAACCACTTAACTTCAATCCAACATCATTCTAACATTCATTAATTTTGCAGTATTTCTGTAAATAGTCTTTAAATTTCTTCCAATCTTCCAATGACCCTATTGTGTACCACAGTGAAACAAAGAATTTGTGGGATCTTGTCACAGTTCCCCCCTTCACATATTTGCATTTTTGACAGGCATGTGTGCAGCCAACACCCAGTGCCAACACCAAGGCCTTCCTAATGGGCTCCCTGCCAACACCATCCCTGAAATTTTATCCTTTCCCAGTTCCATTGTTTAGAGAGGGGAAAACCCCACCCCACAGTCTCACCCCAGAGGGCTCAGCATCTGAAGAGTTCTTGCTAAGCTTTTGCATGTTTTACTTTTTTGACATTATTGTTACATTTCTATCCCACTACCTTTCCTACAAAGAGCTCATGGAGGTGTAGATGGTTCTCCCCTCACCTCCTCATTTTTATCCTCACATCAACCCTGTGAGCTAGGTTAAGCTCAGAGAGAGAGAGAGAGAGAGAGAGACTGCCATGACTGAACAGAGTTTTGAACTCAGGTCTCCCAAGCCCTGGGAGGCCAGCACTACACACCACACGGCCATTCAGCTGCCCTTGAGGCTGCCCGTGGGGGGGACGGACATTCCCTCCCTCATATGAGCCAGGCTTCCCCTCCACCCCTCGTGGGAAGGACTTTTCGGCCCTTTCACGGGGCTTCCTTCCTGAGGCCCACTTTGCAGGTAGCGAAGCTGCTGCAGCCCGAAAGTGCATGACACGCTTACACGGGAGTAAGTCCCACGGGAGCCAAAACGACTTACTTCCGAGTAGACGTGCAGCAGAGCACGCTGAGGCTGCAAGCCCCTTAGTAATATCGGATTAATCAGTCCCTCCTTAACACGCCACGACAACTTCCTCCTCTTGCACTGGCGCTTTAACTGAGCCCTCTTTCCCCTAGATCCCCACCCCACCCCGAGATTTGCACTCTGGGAAATGTAGTCCATTCACTCACAAACCAGGGAAGGTCCATCTGCCAGTAGAACTACACTTCCCATGAGGCGTTACGCTTCGAGTCGGGAGGGCGGGCTGCTCTTCCTTATTTAAAGGCGCAGGCCCTCCTTCGCTCACATGGGTGCCTCCTAAGCAGCGCCTGCGGCGGCGGCGATATTGCAGGATTTGAGTCAGCACCACCTTGCAATGCTAATTACTTGGAAGTTTTATACAGTATGTGTGTGCTTGCGTTTGCGCGCCCAGTGGTCCTATACGCCTTACTTTCAAGAAAAGCCCTCTGAGTTCAGCAGGCGTTAACTCTCAACTAGATGTTCAGCCGGATCCTATGCTCACCTACTAGGAATGAGCCCCTAAGACCTTCATTGGTACCCTTGGGTGGATGCACCAGACCCTGAGCTTTCACTTATGTTATGTACTGAAGTTCTCACCCTGGGCCAGCAGGGGGATATTGTAGATAGTTTTCACTCAGGTCCACATATGCAAATAAGGAATTGAAAGTGACCTTCAGTGATTGGATAGTTACAGAAAGTTGCTGCTGTTGCTTTGTAGTGGAGCTCTGTATAAGCAGGTTGGCTGAACCCTTCAGTTCTGTTCTGTTCTGGCCTGTGAATAAACAAGAGCTGTCTGAAGAATCGCTGTGTCGTCTGATATGTTCAACCACAACTTAACAACTTAAAGTAAGTCTCTGGACCTCCGAGAAAGAAATTTAGGAGGGTACTTTTCCAAGCAAACTATGAGAGTGCCTTTGTGAAGTGAAATGAGCCAAACGCTTTTCCCGCCTGTGGCCTGCCACTTTTCTTAGCTAATCAGCAAAGTCAGAGTTATGATTGACGACGAGCGCGTTGTTCCGACACCAGGGGGAAATAATCCCCGGAGTCTTAAAAGCAGCCGTTTCCTCCTCCCATTTAGTGTGCTTTCCCTGCCCCTTCTCATTTTCTAGCCCTTGGAGTCTCCACCGTTTCCACTGCCTTTACTCCCAGGCAGCAATACTGTATGCATTTTTCTTCTCAGAAAAGTGGTCCCTAAAAGGCTTCTTCTGAGATCAGGTAGTCTCTAAAGAAAGTCATTTCTGCAAATACTACGACATAGTATGTGCAGGCGGATGTTAATGAGAAAGCCCCTCTCTCCCCCGCCCCCTCTGCAAATGTGAAAACATCTTAGGCACCGTTTCCTGGTGTGCTGCAGCTGAACGGCAGGCACTCCTTAAGAATTTACTGTATTGTTAACTTGCAGCACCATAATAGATGTCTATTCAAAAGAAAGTCTCTTTGTGTTTAAGAGGCTTACTCCCAGGTAAGTGAGTATAAGATGACAGCCTAGGCTTTGGTTTAGGTTGGCGCTGGGGAAAACCAGTTTTTTTGTACCTTGAACAGCTGCATGGCAGGCAGAATTTCAACAGGTTAAGACTTTTCTGGTATGAAAAAGCCTCACCATGACCATACTGGTTCTAATTTTGTGTTATGCTCTGTCCTCCTCCCCGGCAGCCATCCCTGTGCCTTGAGTAATACAGCCCAAAATTCAAGTCTTCAAGCAGGAGGCTTTCCCAGCCTTGCCTGAAGGAGTTGAACCAGGAGTTGCACCTGGGACCTTTTACTTGCAAATCAGGTGCTCTGCCACCGAGCTGAAGCCTTTGCTCTTCATGGGTCCCCTTAGCTTGCTCAGGGGGACAGAGCAGGCTGTCTGTGGACTTGTGAGAGTGTGTAGGTGCTATGATTCTCAGGTCCCATCTGCACTATACATTTAAAACAGCATCTTGCTACTTTAAATGGTCATTGTTGTTGTTGTTGTTCAGTCCTTTAGTCGTCTCCGACTCTTCGTGACCCCATGGACCAGAGCATGCCAGGCACTCCTGTCTTCCCCTGCCTCCCGCAATTTGGTCAAACTCATGTTGGTAGTTTCAAGAACACTGTCCAACCATCTCATCTTCTCCTTGTGCCCTCAATCTTTCCTTCAGAATGGATAGGTCTGATCTTCGTGCAGTCCATGGGACTCTCAAGAGTCTCCTCCAGCACCATAATTCAAAAGCATCAATTCTTCAGCGACCAACCTTCTTTATGGTCCAGCTCTCACTTCCATACATCACTACTTGGAAAACCATGGCTTCCCACAAAGATTTCTGGGAACTGTTGTGTTATAAAGGTACTGGGAGTTGTTAGGAGAGCTCCCCTCCCCGGAGCTGCAATTCCCAGAGTTCCTTGGGAAGAACAATTGATGTTTGAACCCAGTCTGGAAACAGGAAATGTAATACAGGAGATGTATTAGTGCACGTGGGGAAACAAGTGTCGGAAGTCTCTTGTGCTAACCATGGGCTGGAGGAGCTGTCCAAAGAGTTGAGAGACAAATAATGAATGACATCCCTCCTCGCGGCAGCAAGCTTGGCTATTGCTCCATAAGATGGGACAATCTGAACACTGAAAGTGGGCATTTGGGGGCGGGGGAGTCTGCTGATTGCTCAAGAACTCCCAGATCAACTATGGGTGCTTCCAGGCAACAACCTGCTCATTGATTTGCTTGCACACACCCCCCCCATTCTTTTTATTGCTGTTCGTTTGGGGAAGCACGCAGCTTTGCAACAACTTCACCTGAGTTCGGCAGTACTTGATGAAGGCAGTACGCTTGTAGACTGTCGCTAACTCAATCAGGCATTGGCAAATTCGGGCCTCACAATTGCTGCAGGTTAGGAGGCGTTGCACATTAAACCAATCCGCCCGCCCCCCCCCCCCAAGATCGGGTTTGGGTTTTTGAGACTTTAGGGTTAAGGAAAGTGCCGGGAAAATGCTCTTCCTCGCAAACAAATCAGTATAGTTCAATAAACAGCCAACCCCCGGGGTGGGGGGGGGTGAGTGGCTCAAAGCTCTCCCACCTTTTAGAGGAGCTGTCCCTTTAGCAAACACAAACACCGAGCTCCCCGCACCCCAGTTTCCTTATCTCCATCCGCTCTCCTCGGAGGTCGGTTTACGCCGCCTTGCAAGGAAGCTCACAGCCTGGCTTTCTTGGCCACGGGTAGCGCATCGGAGGCGACAAGACCTGCTGCGCGCCGATGCCCTGAAAGAGCGCGCGCTCCTCCCGGTGCCCTTGCTAGATGCCTCGGAAAGCGCCGGGGACGCGTCCCGCAGGGCTAGGACTAGCTACACAGCGGCGCCCACCCGGTCACAGAGGCAACGGCAGCCCCCTCCCTCCGCTTTCCCACCGCCGAGGCGAAGCTGGCGAGAGGCCGAAGAGGCGGTCTTTTCTTCCCGCCCGGGGGGCCGAGGCAGCTGGGAGCCCCCCGCCCCTCCGCAGAGTCTCCGCCCCTCCTCCCCTCCCCTCCGACGGCCGGCCTCGCTCCCTCCTTCCCGCGCGCAGCTCGGCCGGCGGAGCGGCGCTGAGGATGGGGCGGCGGGGCGCCTGCGGAGGCAGCAGCCAGGAGCCCCGCGGCAGGACAACGACGCTGCCGCTGCTGCTGAGGAGGCCGCTGCCGCCGCCTGGTGAAGCGGGGCTGAGCTGAGCTGAGCTGGGCCCGGTGTCGCTAGTCCGCCCGCCCGCCCGCTGCCGCTGAATCCCCCCAACGCCCACCATGGACCGCCGGCCGCAGAAGCAGGTAAGGGGCAGGACGACGACAACGACGAAGAGGAGGCCTGCGCGGGGCTGGGCAGCGAGCAGCTCCTTCCGCCGCCTTTGTCTCTCCGGCCCTCTGGGGGAGTGGACCCGGCCCGCAGCGCAGCCCAGTGGGGCGGACCGCCTGCCTGCCGCAGCGTCGCGAGGGGCTGCTGAGCTGTGGCAGAGGCCGAGGGAGGGCCCGGCCGGGGGCTGCTGCTGCTCCCTTCTCGCTTCTCCTGCTCCGCGAGGCAAAGGGGCGCTCGGTCGCCGCCGCGCTTTCAGGGGCTTTTCCCACTCGGGAAGGCGCCGCCGCCTTGGGTTCTGCGCGCCCGGCTGCAGCTTAGAGGAGCTCTGCCTGTGAGGGGTCCCAGGTTCCGACCTGGCTTTGCCGGGAGGCCGAGCCGAGCCGGGATCTCTGTTCTGGCAGGGGGGCTCTCCAACGCGGAGAGCCGGGTGGCTTGTGCCTCCGGGATCCCTCCAGCTCCTGGCTTGAAAGAGGGGCTGCCTCCGGCCGGGCCTCTTGCCGGCTGCCCCCCACGGAGTCTTCCTCAGCCCCGAAATCGGTAAAGTTCGGTCTGTAACTGGCGTGTTACCTTGCCACGCTGTTCCCTCTGCATTCGGTTGCTTCTGGGCATGTGCAGAGTGGACTGCCTGCCGCAGCTGAGAGCAGTTAGAGGCAGCACCTCTCTCGGTGCCCAAGAGTTTGAAAGGGGGTCGGATTGCTTCCTGAGGGCACTTCAGTGGCAGAGAGTACTGGAGCGGAAGACCCCGGGTCCAGCCCCGGAAGAGCTGCTGCCAGTCCGTGTAGGCAGTACAGGGCAAGATGGATCTGACGGCAGCCTTCCCCAACTACCTGCCTTCCAGATGTTTTGGGCTGCGCTTGACCCCAGCATCCTACAGCTGTGCTAGGTGGGAGGAGTTTCGGTCAGAAACATCTGGAGGGCACCAGACTGGGGGTCCACCTGCCCCACCTCATTCTCTGTTCCCAGCACTGGTCAGCCAGGAGTCTCAAAGAGAAGCCCCACAAACAGGACATGATGGCAACATTGCATGCCCCCAGCACCTGTTGTCCAGATGTAGACTGCCTCTGGATGTAGAGGTTGCATTTAACTGTGATGTTAGACAAACCTACAGAGGGAAGGCCTACTTCAGTGGCAATCGTTGCCCCTTGAGGTGAGGGGGTGCCCATAAGGTGATGGTTTGTTTTGCGTGTCTGAACGGACTTTTATCCTTACTTAACAATCTGCTGTCAGTAAACTTCATTGCATGACCCTGAGGCCTAGTTTTTAAAAGAGCTCCGACTTCTTAACTGTGTGACGTCCTATGTATCAAATTTTTGCATCTTGATACAGAGCACCACCGAAACCTGTGTTTCAGGTCAGCCTTGTAAATGAGCCCACAAAAGTCTCTAGTCTGCTAAGAGACTGCTAACAGCCTGCCCTGGAGGATTCTCGGCTGTCTAGTAAGCAGACTGGGGGGGGGGGAGGGAGAGATAATTCTGCTGCCCTTGAGCCATTGGGCCAACCCATTTGCTTTCTGTGCTGGTAGCCACAAGGGAATTGACCTTTCTTCACAGCTGAGCACAGAAAGCAAGTGGGCTTGGATCTGCTCCTCCGCTAGCCTGTTGTTGTGTTTCTGTTTTGGCTTCCCTTTCCTCTGTGTCTACAACAAAAACCAAGCCATGCAGTGATCTCTCTCCCCACCAGCCCACTCACTTGCCAGCATGGAATTCCTTGTTGCCTATAGCGACTAGGCTTGCTATTTAAAGCTGGTTCCGATGGGTTTCTCTCTCCAGCATTTTGCACAGTGAAGACGGATGCAAAGAGTTGACACAGCTTCTCCCTGCAATTTCTGCTCTCCAGCAGCCCTTTGCCATCATGGCCTTGGCTGCCTTCCATTTCCTGAGGTATTTAAATTGGTTGTCTTTATGCGTTTAGGAAATAACACTTCAAATGTCTTCATTTGCTGTTTGCAGTATGCACTTGTCTGCTCAGGGTTTGTGTTCCTTTTTGTTCTCATTCAGGGGCAATATGCTTTGCACTCCCCCCCTCCCCCCATTCTTATGACTTCCATAACCCCAGGCAGAGTTGCAGCTGACTATCAGTAGATGCAGTAGAATGGCAGCTTGTATATTTTTGAATTTGCGCCTTCTTGTATTTGTATTGCACTATTGCACAAATATTTCATCCCCCCCCAAAAGGCTTTGCATAAGTTAGTTAAAGACCAGTTAAAAAGTGAGTGAATGAAGCATATCTAGTCCATGATAATATTAATGTTCAATTAAAACCAACACTGAATTATTTGATGAAGAGGATCTTAAATCAAATGAATATATATATAGACAAAATGCTTCATTATGCAGTATGCTGAACCCTTGTTCCTCTGTGATACATACTATCTGAGCCTCTACTATAGCCGTTTCAAAAGAACCTCCAAGTTTCCTTAATGGATTTTAATTCTTCCATGTAACATCTCTTTTACAGATCCTTCATTGTCGAGTAATTCTCTGTCCTGAAATTAAATACAACTTGAGTAAGACTTTCTAGATATTCTTTCACTCACAGACATGTTGAATTTGATCATGCTGTGCTTGCTACTGCTCCCAGAAAGTTTTTTCTGTGCTGTCACTTAACAGTTTCCTGTAGTGCTCCATGATTCAGATTTCCTAAATGTATATTGAGGGAAACCAAGGAAAGGGTTAATGAAATTAGGAGTGTCCAGGGGGAGCGGCCTGATATTTTCATAAAACATGTGGCTGGAGACCTTTAAATTAAAGCTCAGGTTTTTCCAGGATGCCAAATTCTGTGCAAGACAGCAGGTTCTGTGACTGCCCAGGAGCTGCATCGGATAGCACCCAATAAGATGGTTGGAGTCAAAGCTGTGAGGCAACTGCATCCTAATCTCTGAGCATAGTTTATGTGATGCTTCTGTGATGGATGTGGGCCCAGAACAGAAGTGCTTAGTGAAGGAAACACTTCTGTGCCCATCGCTGCTTTCAAAACACCACAGTATAAAATATTCTTTTATTGACATATCTGCACTGTTGGCATAGCCTCCCACTTGTTGTGTTTGTGTGGCATGGTGTGCTTTGCAAAGAGTTGGGGGTCCAACCTTGTTGAATTTCTTGGACTGCAGGTTCAAGGATTGGGCTGGAAGGATTTTAATGAAAAAATATTAGCACCCAGTTGGCTCCCATCTTAGACTCAGGAGCCAGTTCAGACTTGCAGTTGAAAATAAGCAAGTTAATGAGCACACTTGCTTTAGTTTGTGGGCAATGCAACACACATCATGTTACCAAAACCCCTGAAGTCACTGCATGATAAAATCTGCAAGATCCCAAGCACAAAAGCGTACATGGCTGAGTAACAAGCCTGGTGGTTTCTTTTAATTAAAATCCTGGTTGAAACCTACTGTTACAAGATGTAAAAGGCAAAGACATTTTAGAGTGTGAGAAAAGTTACTGTGTAACACCAAGCTGGCTGTTGCTCCATCAATATATAGTGGTACCTCAGGTTAAGTACTTAATTCATTCCGGAGGTCCGTGCTTAACCTGAAACTGTTCTTAACCTGAAGCACCACTTTAGCTAATGGGGCCTCCTGCTGTTGCTGCGCCGCCGGAGCCCGATTTTTGTTCTCATCCTGAAGCAAAGTTCTTAACCTGAAGCACTATTTCTGGGTTAGTGGAGTCTTTAACCTGAAGCATATGTAACCTGAGGTACCACTGTAGACTGGCAGCCATGGGGTCTTCTGGAGCCTGCTGTGCTCCTGACGATGCCAAGGGCTGCAAACCAAACCTGCACTGAGGGGGCAGCTTCTAGCTTGAGGCTGCTCAGGAATTTTCTGAATTGTCTCTGGATTTTTGTTGTTTCTAGAGCATCTGTGCACACTGCACCTCCCCTTGGATGATGGGGCCTGCCACTTTGACCCATACTTTTGCAACGGCTGAGCTTGACTGCTTTGGCATGCTTCATGTGGGGCTGCCCTTGATGATGACTTGGGAGATGCAAAATTATGCAGGCCATCTGTTAAATGTCCGAGGGAAGAAGCAAGGAGCATCTTTTCCTCCTTCAGTTCCAGAGGAGGGGTTGGCACCACAGCTCATTGGGCCAGTTCAAGGTGCTCGTGCTTAACCTATAAAGATTCCCATAGTCTAGTACGCAGATGCCTCTGACACAAGTCATCTCTATTGCGTTCTTTGTTTACCCAACCAGATCCTGCTTCATTAGAGCATCTGTTGCTAGGACGGCACTCTCTCCCTCTGGAACTGAGGATCTGTTCTTCTTATAATTTGAAAGGACTGTCACAACTTTTCCTTGCCTGCTTCTAGCACAGCCTATCCCAGTCTGGTGCCCTCTGTATCTTTTGGGCTACAACTCACATCAGTTCTTACCAGCACAGGTGTATGATCCTGGGGCGGATGGCAGTTGTGGTCTAAAACATCTGGAGGGCACCAGATGGGGGAAGGCTGCTCTAGGATTTCTCCTTGGGAGTTTTTTTCTGAATGGCTGAGAACATCTTCTAGCTAAGGTTTTTTTTAAAAAAATTGTGGTTCATCAGTTGTTTGCAGTTGCCTTGAACCCATGTCAGAAAAGCAGCAAATACATATTTTAAAATAAACAATTTAAACCATTCATGAATGGTTAAGTTCGTAGATCCAGCCCCAAGGCAGTTTCACAGGCTAGCTGAGGTGCAGTAAAAGTTTTCCCAGGGTTCTTACCTGAGAGGGGAAAAGAAAACAGTTCAAAGTTTTTCCTCACTTTAATTGCCTCTTTATTTTCTTTGTGACATCTAAATTGCAAATCTTACATCTGCATGGAGTGCAAGGGAGCCAACTGCAAAGGTGCAAAATCTACTTCTGGCCTTTGGAGCGTGGCCTGCAAAACCAGAGGTCAGGTTCTTGAGAAGACAGTTGATGGCCAAATTCGTATTTGGTATTTTCAGTAGCTGTTGCAGTTAAGAGGCCTCCTTGCTCTTTGTATGTGTGTGAGAGACAATGCTTCTAGGGGTACTGATGGACAAATGTGTGATCTTCATTGCAATCAGATCTGTTTATGTGCAGTGCTTTTGTAGAGAGCTGGATGGCACAAGAGCCATCTTTGTTAACTTCAGCGCAACACAAAGTCATTGTTTTTAGCAGCAGATTCTTGTGGGGGTCTTTAGGTCTGACTGTATAGGTGCCTTTCCCCCCTACCCTTTTCTAGATCTGTGTGCCAGAGCTCCAGAGGAGGGGACAATGAAAACGTTAAAGGCTCACGCTGGACAGCGGCAGCCACACATTTCACCTGCATAAAGTACAGTGGTCCCTCGGGTAACATACGTTTCAGGTTACATACGCTTCAGGTTACAGACTCCACTAACCCAGAAATAGTACCTCTGGTTAAGAACTTTGCTTCAGGATGAGAACAGAAATCGTGCTCTGGCGGTGCGGCAGCAGCGGGAGGCCCCATTAGCTAAAGTGGTGCTTCAGGTTAAGAACAGTTTCAGGTTAAGAACAGACCTCCGGAACGAATTAAGTACTTAACCTGAGGTACCACTGTACTTTAAACTGTACAATTGAATCTCTGTTCTGTGGTGCCCAGTGTGATATAGTGGGCAGTTAATTATAATTGCAACAGTTAACCTTATCATCATCCTCATCCTCATCATCATCTAAAATGAGCTGGAGAAATCTATACTCAGGCAGTGTTACTATGTATGGCCCAGATTTCTGAAACTTCTCAATATGTATGAAAATCCCCAGGCACTCACTCTCTGTCCAGAAACCTTTTAAAAGGGTTTCATTGTTGGTTTCATTGGCCCACACAGACTTAAGAGGAGGAGGAGGAGCCATTTCAAGAGCACAGAGAACTGAGGAATGAGGGAGGCACATGGGAAAGGTTCCTGCCCATTTAGCAGCTACTTTCCTTCAGGTACTGTGAGGTTTGCGGTTTTGCTATTCATGCAGCTTCTCTTCAGTCTCCTGATTTTCCTGTGGATAGAAAGTAGGCTCTTGGCTCTGTTTGGCTGCCACCGCCACTGCCTCCTGCTCCTGTGAGCAGCCAAGCCTACACAGGAGGATGTGGAGTAAGCCTGAATCATGTGGTCAGCCTGCAAAAGTGACTTCATTGGAAAGTTTAAATACCAACGGTTACTTCAAACCCCTTACTTGCACTGTAACTCCTGCCCCCAATCAGAGAGTGTTTTAAGTAAAGAGGGAGCTGAAAGCATTACAGGAGTGTGATCTTCTCTTAGAATGACTCTGATCCAATTCTAAAGCGACTTGGTGTGTGAAGTTCCTTCTGGCCAGCACCACATCTCAATCTGTTTGCCGGTCCCCACTCAGTGTAGGAACTCCATGCAAATGAAATGTCGGGGTTTGTTTCAGCATAACCTTTATTTAAGTTGTAAACTGCCCTGTGCTCTACAGATGAAGGGCGGTATAAATAAATATTAATTACTCATAATCCTAATAATACATTTTATTCTATAGCCCACTCTTTCTCTAAGAAGCTGAAGGTGAAGAACCTGCTTCCCTCCATCTCTTCCATTTTATCGTTGTGCCAATCTGCATATTGTATCACATCCTATAGGAAGAGCCCTGCAGCTGGATCCGACCAGAGGTCCTTCTAGGTCAGCCTCCCATCCCTCTTGGTAGATGCTCTTTCTGACTGCTCCCCTCCCACCTTGCCCCCTCTCTCTCCCTGGGCCAAGGCCTTGCCAAGCTGCCTCGGATTTATCTGTGGTTGGCTCAAATTCCCCCTCAATTGGCAGTTTCCTTTTCACCTGGTGGAGTCCGCAGGCTGATATCCAGCCAATGGAAGGGTTTCAACGGCTCCAGCAGAGCTGTTTCTTGCTGCAGTGCAGCACCATGAAAAGGAGGTGGGGTTCCTCCTCCTCCCAGAAAGTGTGCCAGATGCACACTCAAGT